GAGAATAAAATATATCTGGTCTAGTACGAATAATAATAGTACTTTTATCGCTGTGCATCAGAAATATTTCTCCGATGTAGGGAACAAAAATCATTCAATTGAAAGAAAGTCCACTTTTCGGTAGATTTTGCTTTAAAATCGGTAGTTCGGTATGCCAGGCCCAAAATCGGTAGATCTACCGAAAAATCGGTAGACCTGGTAACACTGGCCGAGGGTCACTTCTACTTTGTGTTGCCAAGTCTCGTGAAATTTCTCCAGATCGAGTGATCTTATGAAAAATCTCGTGATTGGGGAAAAACTTCAAAATGTCAATTTCTGATGATTGATAAAATTTCTTCGATTTTAAATATTTTTGACAATCTTGAACTGCCAAAATTTCTAACAATTACTAAATGTCCGAAACCGGTACCGCGAGCACACTGATACTCGATACTAGTGTTTTATTCAAAACGGGGGAAGGCATGTTAAAATTCGTACCATTATTTTCCATCGTACACTTGCATGTATCTATGTACAAGTCATGCGACAATTATTTCTATTAAAGCACTATTGCCAACCGATATGTTGGATCTCCAGCCATTTGCTTTTGACGAAATGACTGGCAAATTTGTCAGCTTTGAACTTGCCACTGATCGTCATTTTGGTTGTTATCGAAGAATACAACACTAGTGGGACAGCATCGAGCCAGTGTTGCCATTTACACTGATTCACACTTCCCAATGAAAGTTGTGTGTATAGTATATTTAGGATATCGGAGCGGTGAGTGTAAATTGAGATCCACATGCTTAAAATTATTTTCTCTGAATTTTATTCATAAGCAATCTCGGCAACATCGCTGATGAATGTCAGCATTGTCATATCATACTTTCTGTGGAAAACACAGAGTCGTATTCAGCGATATATGGAAGTTCCGACAGGTCAGTATTGAAGAATTTGTTTCTAGGTCAGTCAGAAGATCCATTTTCAATTAGAAAAAATGAAGTATCGTGGATGTCTAGAGCGGCGACTCGATGGGTCTTATAAATAAAGGCGTAATTCACGAAATGTTTGTCGATTGTTAGCGCTGGGTGCAAAAATCAACTTACCTTTGAAAGGTCCTTCAAGGTGAATATCAACGTCAGATCCAAGATGCGCCATTTGATTTCCTGAAACTTTTGCATATAAAGTTTTTTTTCAAGCACCATTAGTTTCTGAGATATTTTACCCTATATTTCATGTCATGTATGACAAAACCTTTTAAATTTTGGTATTATTCTATTTTGCCCATGATTGAGTTTACCCATAACTGCTTTAATCCTGTCGATTTGGTCCGTATTCACATCCTCGAGCAGATCTTTACGGCGGGAGCTGAGCCCAGATCGCAGAAGGAGCTAAGACTTAAGCTATTGCTCATGCAATGGTTCAAGCTGTGTTCAAGCTCGGGCTCGAGCTGTGGCACAAGGTATCCCTCAGCCTATGCTCAATCTATGGATCAAGCTGTGCTTGAGCTAAGGTTCAAAATATGCTCAAGCTATGGCTAAAGCTATGCACAAGATATGGCCCAAGCTATGCTCACGCAATGCTCAAACTATGGCTCAAGGTATGCTCGGGCAGTGCTCAAGCTATAGCTCTAGCTATGCGCAAGCTATGGCCCAAGCTTTGCTCAAATTATACATCTAACTATGCTCAAGCAATGCTCCAAGCTATGCTCAAGCTACGGTTCAAGCTACGCTCTTGATGTGGATCAAGCTATGCTCAATGTGGTTTAAGTTATGCTCAATCCATCGCTCATGCTATGGCTCAAGCTGTGCTCTAGCTCAAGCTATGCTAGACCTATGGCTCAGATATGCTCGGGCTATTGCTCAAACTTTTAGTTACTAATGAATGGTAGAAGGTGTAGGGGGATAAATAGTACATTACAAATCTTGGTGTAGAAGTATGCCTTTATTTGACAAACATATGTTTGCTTTTTCCATAAGCATAACAGGATGTAAGGATAAGTGAGCCTCGGGTAATTAAAATTGCGAAATGAAATTATTAATGTTTTATTGTAATTGCTATACATTATTAACCATTAAAAGATATATAAGTAAATATACAATATACAACAATTGAGAGTATTAGTAAAATTAGTCTATCAGGTTACAAATTTTCAACAAACTGTATAAAATGTCAACATTATTACTATATAAAAACAACTTATCAAATAAAAGTTTATAAACCTTATCACCCATTCTGATTAATAAATAGAAAGAAACAATAAATACATGAGCACAATGCTGGAATTCTGAATTAATACTACAACATAATTGTCCTAGTACAGTGACTGCTGCAGCGCTGCAATTACACTTCTATATGGAGAAAAATAAAATTGAATGGAAAATGCAAGCGTTATTAGAGAGTTTTTAACGCTCTTATTTTGCTGCTTCGTTAAGATCTTAGTGATTTCGATTTTGCGCAGTAGCAAGGTCTATCACAATTTTAATCTTGGCATTTTGCTCAATATCTGTTGCCGTATTTTCCTCCGTATAGGAGTGCAATACCTGCGCGACAGCCACCATTATATAGGGCCAATAACATACATAATACGATTTAGCGTTAACTTCTTTTTCATTTATATTATCGAATAAACTATAACGATTGCAAAAATATCTCATTACAGCTGTTTTCAGTTCTTAGGTATAGTCGTTTTAAAATACGGATGTTATCATTAATGGACAGAAACATCATACCTTTTTGTCTGAGATTTAGGTAAGAGGCACAACCCATAATTGAAAAGTTATTGATACGAAGGTACATACAGACAATGTAAAACTCACAACAAAAATTAACTAATACGAGATATTTTGTCTTTACTCCTGTATTTGCATTCATATATAAAGCGTGTTGTTAAATGTCACGTCGCTTTTCCTGTTCAATAACACTATTATAAATAGAAACTTTAATTATCAACTTGGCAGAAAATGTTTGTTATAATTTATGTATTGTCTGTTTCAAAAGTAAAGGGTATCCCATAATTAACGCAAGATTTTAATTTGCCACCACGTTTGCAGTAAATTGCAGGCAGCCCTGAAAAAAGAGCAATTTGACAGCTGAGATGTTAGGGTAGAGCGTTATAGGACGCAATAATGTAGTTTTCATTATCGATAATAGTTCAAAAATCATGAAAGTTCATCGTCCGCTGTTCGAAAATTTTATACAAAATATGGCCGGATTAATTGAAAAATTCAGAGAGACTGGATCAGTTGGACACGCTAACCACACCGGTCGTCCAAAAACAATCCGTTCAAATGTCCATGTCGAGTGAGTGCATGAGAGTGTTGGTCAAAACCCAGGAACGTCAATTCGGTGTCGTGGACAAGAACTGCAAATTTCAAGAAATTCTCTACAGCGTATACTCACAAAAGATCTGCATCTCTATGCTTACAAAAGTCAATCAAAACAATGCGTAAGGACCATGACCAGGGAAGAAAGTTCGTGGAATGGATTATTGAACATCAACAAGTAGATGCTGATTTTTCGAGTAAAATCATCCTAAGCGATAAAGCACATTTTCACCTAGATGGTTTTGATAATCGCCAAAATTGTCGTATTTGTCGTTCGCAGAACCCACGTGTGATTGTCGAAAAAGGAATGCGCCCACAACGTGTCACTATTTGGTGCAGATTTTGGGCTCGAACCATCATTGGACCATACTTTTTGAAAATGAGGCTGGTGAAGCGGTAACTGTTACTGGTCCTCGATATCTCGACATGATAACACACTTCTTTCTGCCGAAATTGGATGCTGTGGATGTGTCCATTACAGTGGACCTCCGGTAATCCGACAAACATTATGCAGGGCAGTGTCGGACTATCGAATTTGTCGGATTATAGAGCACTGCCTAAGACTCCCTATAGTCCAGAATTTTTTACAAAAGGGTGCCTTGTAATCCGACAAATTACATATCCAATGGTAAGATTATATATGTTATGTATATGTATGTACTTTGAAGTACAGATCATACTTAGTTTATGTATGTCGAATTTAGTAAATTAAATAACAATAGAGAGCTTACGTTTTATTATTAAATTAAGCATACATGCACATACATATGTACCAAAATAATCAAGAATTATTAATCAAAATCATTGATGAATTTATCAAATTATGAAGCTTGGAAATATTCATCATTTTTTTTTGTTTAAGGTTGTTATAACGCGAGATCAGAGCTTTTTCCCTCAGTCTTCTCAAAAGTAAAAGTTCGTTGTAGGATGTACCATTCTCTTCAGCCCATTGTAAACCTAGCTCAAAGGCGTTAATTGCGTCTTGTGCTGTGACTTGTGGAGCAGTTGCAATCTCGTCGTCGTTATTTTCCTGATTGTTTGTTGTATAATTAGAAACCTCTTTTATAATCTCTTCGACAGACATTTCATGAAAAACATTTTCCTCTTTATCCATTCCACGGCACCAGATTTCCAAATCTTCCGGACTTATCTGTGTTTCAGTAGCGACTTGTTCTATAACTTCCGAAGTAACACTGATTTGTGGAACGTTGCTAGGAGTGGTGACTATATCTGGCCATAACTTTTTCCAAGATGATTTAATAGTTGATGACGGTAACGCATTCCACGACTGACAAATAGCAAAAACCAAGTCTTTCATATTAAATTCTTTTAAAGTCTTTTCTATTGCTTGGTCCTTTGATACGGCTCTCAGAAGTAGGTTTTTCTTATAGTCTTGCTTGACAAACTAAATGATATTCTGGTCCATTGGTTGAATCAGTGCAGTGCAATTTGGCGGAAGAAACATCGCAGTGATGCATTTATCCTCAGGTGTTAGTTTTTCTTCAGGCGGATGACCGGGAGCGTTATCAAGAAGCAACAACGCTTTTTGAGGAAAATTATGATCTTTTAACCATTTTCTAACTTCAGGTACGAAGCATTCAACAAACCACTTTTTGAAAAGGTCTTTTGTCATCCATGCACTTTTTTGTCCGTAATAGTGTACAGGTAAATCAGAAAGCCCGTGGTTTATTAGATTTCCCAATGACCATCATCTTAAGCGCGTGTGTGCCCGCAGCGTTAGCACATAGTAGTATGGTTACACGCTCTTTACTTACTTTTCGTCCAGGTACGAATTTTTCGTTAAAAGAAACGAAAGTTTTGTTAGGCATCACAGGCCAAAAAAGCCCTGATTCGTCTGCATTGTACACCTGTGACGGGTCAAGATTTAAATCGTTCACCTTTTGCAAAAATCTTAATTTAAAGGGCTCTATGCAGGTGACATGGTTAGAAAGTTTTTCTCCAGTAATAGTCATTAAACGTATGCCGTATGACTTTTAAAACGTTCTAGCCATCCTTTGCTGGTCACAAAATCATCTTTTTTGTTATTTCCTTATAAAAAAACTTAGCTTTCATGGCCAACATGGGTCCAGAAATTGGTATATCGTTTCAACAAGACACATGAGGCATTTCCTGGTCGTGTACATTCCCGTTTCGGTGGTCAGAATTGGCCTCCTAGATGGAGTGACTTAACACCATTAGAGTTCTTCTTATGGGGTTATTTAAAGTCAAAGGCTAACAAGTCCACAACTCGAAACTCAGCCACCTTTATGCAGAAAGGTCATGGAAAATCGTCGTTTGCCCGACGTGATATTCCATACATAACCCCATCCTAAGTATTTTATGGTTCAAAAAAAATAATGTGAAGACTTAAAACTGTGTTTTCTATTTAATTCAAAACTTGCGTTAATTTTGGGACACGCTTTATACGCGCTAGACGTGATGACATAAATTGCTACATGTAATATTATTCTAGAAAAATGCCATGTGATATTTGTTGTGTAAACATCACCGCATCTTCATTTAAATGTGGCAACGAATGTTGCTCATCATTGCAATCATCCTGATATGTGTTGTCGGCGCGATAATTTACAAATAAGAACAATATATCACAGTTTTCCAGAAAAATAGTTTTCTTTGTATCAGCGCTCTCCTATGTTTCCTTTTTGAATTGTAGGAAATTTCAGGCTGATAAAAGAGATGATTCCACACACCAGTTTATAAGAGAATTTCATTTAGTGGCAAATTTAAGTGCTGAGAAATTTTGGTAATTCTTTAAATATATTGAGTAGAAGTCAGTTTGCTCTAGGGTATAATTATCAGGTGATCTGGAATCACATGGAGACTTAAATCAATAACATGTTACGATCATATCGATAAAACTTGCTCAAATTACAATCCTCTACACAGAAACTAGTTCGAAAAAACAATACCAAAAGTAAAATGCCTGTATTGAATTTGTGGTAATGCTGTCATTTGAACACAAAAATTTGAATGTATGGAGCCTTACTTTGATTGTCTAGCAGATGAATAAAGAATATATTTCAATCTTATTTCCGATATTACTCAAAAGATATCAAAGTCTAACGAAGAAAACATTTTTTGTTACACTGAACTGTTGCTTTATTCGAGGATCATTTCCAAAATATCACCTATCAGTTGCATGAACATAATTCTTATTTTTCTGAATATTTTGATATCCCGAATATTTTTCAAATGAATTATTTTTGACAAAATTTGCCGAAACGTTTTGAATTATCAACGTCACTACCTTTTTAACCATTTCGGTTACAAACAGGAGATGTAGCAAACATTCAAGCGGTTATTCGTTATTTGTCTTTTGAAGGTTTTTGAAAAACTGCCGTTCTCAAGAAACACGGCGATGGCATATCGTAAAAAAAAGGTCCCAGTACCGATCCTTGGGAAACATCTCCCTGGATAACACGGACATATTACTTTTTCCTTGAAGGTATTATTGAAAAAGTAGAAATGGCAATCCCCGAACTCCTTATCTGCACAAATTATACAGCAGCAATTCATGATCAACATAATAGATTATGCAAAACTATACACCGCCGTATCAGTACTTTTACCATTGATAAAACCATGCAGATTTTCCGAGATCAGCGTATTTCTACTGCAAACATCTACCTGCCGTTTTTTCATATTAAGGTCAAAAACTCGATAACAGGCTAATGCCTCTGCAATTCGCATAGTCATTTGGATAATTTCTTTTATGGATTGGTGTAACTAATGCTAGTTTTAAACAGCTTGGAAAATTTCCTTAAACGTTATGGTAGTTATTATTGAAATGGGTAATAGGGAGGTCAAAACAAGTCAAAAAGTTCATATGACCCATGGTCCAAAAGTCAATAGATTTTTGTCTAAATTTCTTTATAGTTTACAACTTAAGTTAAGCCAAAATTTGTAGTCAGTAAGTAAGTAAGTTTCATTAAATTAAATATTTAAGACACACATGACAACAGCGCGTCGGTCATTCATCACTATTATCGAACCGGCAATCGATCGCAAACGGTAACAGTGGTTAGTTATTGTTCGCGTACGTCGTCGTGTTTATTTACAATGTTCTCGAATCAAGAGTTCGCCGACATGTTGTTAGTTTACGGTGAAGCTCGTCAGAATTCAAATTTTGCAGCTCAAATTTATCGCCACAGATTTCGCCAACGGGTACATCCAGACGGAAGGACATTTGTGCAAGTGGTCGAGATACAGGAAGTCTTCAGCCCACTAATATTTGCACTCGTGAAAGACAGGTTACTGTAGAGCAGGAGGAACAAATTTTAAATATCGTGGAAATCAATGAAGATATCTACACTCGGGAATTAGACCGCCGCGTAGGACTATCGCATACCATAGTCCATAGAATCCTACGGGAAAATTTGCTTTATCCCAGCATGTACAACGAGTCCAGGCCTTGTTACCAGAAGACGATCCTCGCAGACTAACATTCTGTCAGTGGTTTTTGCACAAAAACATTGAAAATTCGGATTCTTTTAAAAACATTCTAGCGACGGACGAATGTACTTTTACGCGAGACGGGCTATTAAATTTCCATAATACTCACACGTGGGCCCAAGAAAATCCTCATACCATTCGTGAAGTACGTAATGAAGCTTGTGTGGAAAGTGAACGACGACATTTTGAACACCTTCTTTAGATACAAAAAAGTGCAGTGTGGGTTTAAAAAAGAAAAACAATGTATGTATCAAAATTATGTTCCCTATTTATAAGTGGATTTTTTAATACGTTCAATAAACTTTCACACACCAAGTGAACCGGTGAGACAGTTAGTGGTAAGTCCGTTTTTTTAATTGTTTGCATTTTACGAGTACATTATCAAATAATGAAATAATACCTAAGAGCCAAAAATAACAAACTCACCCTCTATCACCCATTTAAATAATGACTATCATAACGTTTACACCCATTTCAAAAACACATTTTTTCAGCAACTTATTTGAGACATCATCATATCCACAAAAATTTGAATCTTTCAACTGGGATACGAATTGTACTAATTCGATTGTCAATTTTAATGTGTTAGTGAAGCACCTCAATAAATGTTTAGTTGATCAATGAATGCTTCCTGTTCATTCATGTAATGTAGTTTCATGAGTTGTGTATGTTCCATTATTACTTTTTTATAGTATTGCTTTTAATGTGGATATTCCATTTTCATCTTCCTGCAGGCGTTACGAATTCGTTCTTCCAACCTTAAGAGCATCCCGATACGATTTGTTATAAATTGCCTTTTGGTGAATAAATGTCATTCAGTGACATTAGAAGTGTTACACTCAGAAAAAATAATTTCTTCAACTTGTTTTTTTGGCAAGATATGACTATATTTAAAGAATGCTGTGGCAGCAATGTCAACGTTTTATCTTTGTTTTTACTTTCCTTTGTTAAAATGTTATCTCTTAGTTTTTGTGAAATAAAGCAGTTTCGGAGAGATATTTTTAGATATTGCCCTTTCATTTACTAGTGTTAAGCATAATACAATGCTTCGAGCTAGAATACGTAAAAAATTATCACCATGTTAGTGAATTTGGGTAGAATTATTGCCTATCGAGATGATGGTTTGTCCCTAGTTAACTGTACTGCAATGACGGTAATGCGTGTGTGTCGTGTGCGGATAGAAAAAGGTAGAGAAACACGAAGAAGGCCAACTGGTCCACCGCGAACCAGTGTCGCCGAGAACGGCAACATTGGGAGTCAGAATGGCATAATGTCATCTTCAGCGACGAATCGCGATTCTGTCTAGGTACGCACGATGGTCGTAGAAGGACCGTCGACACGTCCTTTTTCAGCAAGACAACGCACGTATTGCCCGTCGTACTACGGACTTTCTTCAAGAAACAGGCGTTAATGTTTTGCCGTCCACCAGATTTAAATCCCATCGAACACGTGTGGGATATGACTGGGAAAAGGTGCCACAACCAGACGTCGATCATCTCATTTTGTCGACGCCTAGGCATATCCAAGAGTGTGTTCAGCTGTGGGGTCGCCCAACGCATTATTAATTTGTTTTCTTATTACTTCCTGATGAACAAAACCTAATTGCTGAAGTTAGGCATACCCCAAAGATAAGTGATCACTCATGGATATATTTCGAAGTGGGAAATATGTTCGATGAAAATAAAATGAAAGAAATTACAGTCATTGAATTCACAAAATTACGAGAAACACTTTTACAACACAATATACCTGAAATTATCGATAATGCCGACAACTACTTCGTGAAAATTATGAATAATATGGATAAGTATATTAGTGGAGCTAATAATATATGAAAGAGTGAACCCAACACCCTGGCTTTCACAGATATTCAAGGAGTCTAAATTAAAACGTGATAACGACTACAGAAAATTTGTGTGTGTAGGAGTTCTTAAAAGGGAAAATAAAAAATACTATGATAAGAAGATCGATAGCAATCAAAATCTAAAATGATGTGGAAAACGTTAAAGAATATTGTTTCTCTGAATTATCTAAAATGAGTTTCGAAGATGGGGTAGTAACAGACAAATTAATTATAGCAGAAAGAACGAACACTTATTTTATAGAAAGTGTAAATCAAATAGTGAAGACGATTGATGACGGTGATTCAAACATATGTCCATTACAAGTATGTCAGAATGCATCAACGAAGCAATTTAGGACAATTAACATCAACAATCTAAGAAAAGCTATCTCAAAATTGAAATCTAATAAAAATCCAAGTGAGAATCTCTCAAACAATATTCGAAATGAATGTTTCAATATAATTGGAGAGAAATTATTATTATTGGTGAATCATTGTTTAGTACATGGTAATTCAAAATTAAAGTGTTCCACTATTACTCCGGTGCCAAAAGTTCAAAATTCTCAGCTGTATACAAATATGAGACCGATTAATGTCTTGCCCGATGTCGAGAACCTGTTCGAAGGGAAAATATACGAACAAATCAAAGAATTCATTAAGAAACTAAAATTATGATAAAAAATCAAGCTTTATTTAGAAAAAAAAATTCCACAGAAACGGCAATCCAACTGGTGGTGGAAGACTGGAGAAGAAGTAGGTATAGATGAGAAATAATATACTGTAACAATATTTTTAGACTTCAAAAGGGCATTTGAGACTATAGATAGGGAAAAATTGTTAATGAAATTGCGTCACTATGGCTTTAAAGGATCAGTATTACACATTTTACAAAATTATTTAGTGAATAGAAGTAAAAAAACTAAAGTTGGAAATTTTATGTCAAGTGCTCAAAATATATCAGTAGGGGTTCCACCGGGGAGTAAATTAGGGCCGTTGCTATTTATTATATAAATGATATATCTGACATTTTAGAACACTGCAAAATTCAAATATTTGCGGACGATACACTTATATATATATATATATATATACAGGGTGACTTCGAAGTTGAGTCATTTATTTTAACAGTGAGTAGATCTGATCAAAAGAAATGTTTTTTTCCTTTACCATTTTTCTGGTAAAATTAAAGTAACAAAGTTATAGCCCTTTGGAAGTTTGAGTACCGTCCTGTCTCAATAATAATATTATGTGCTCGTGTTTGGCAACAACGGATATAATCCGCGTTATCGGTTCATCGCATCGGAAACAAAAAAGCGAAAGAATTTGGAACGATGTTTTTACAATTATTTTATTCAGTTCAGTTGTATACAGTCAGTGTCAGTCGGTAACGCGTGAGTGAATAGTGGTGTCTGTTGCGTGGCTCAAACGAAATAAAAAATGGCACATGTTTATGCGGATCGGTTTCCCAATCGAGTGCAACCAACCCCTCGTGCCTTTGTTAATGTGGTACAACGGGCTCGTGAATCAGGTGACCTCACAGGGGACGGCATGCCGGTGCTCCAAGACCTCACGATCAAATACAGGTCCGCACTGAAATACTTGTCGGGAGGATACTTTATAAAACAAGGTAAATTTTTTTTTTATTTTTACACACATATTTTGGTTTATCTTCCTTCTACAATCATTATCTGAAAATTAATGACTCAACTTCAAAGTCACCCTGTATATACATATATATATATATATAGCACATAAGCATTTGGACACTGCTTTAGAAGTGTTAAATAGTGATATTGAAAAAATTATGAATTGGTTAAATGTCAATAAACTGAAATTAAACACTAATAAAATAAAATATATAATACAATTAGGCTCATGATTAATGATGAAAAAATTGAAGTAGTCGAGTCATTTAAATATTTTGGTATATATGTGGATGGTAAGCTACTGTTTCGCGAACATTATGAATACATTATTTCAAAAATATCGAAAAAGATAAATTACTTCTATAGAGTTTCCCATAATCTTAGTATGTGTTCCAAAAAAATTGTGTATAACACTATAATTCTCCCCCATTTTTATATTGTTCAACCATCTTGTTTACAGCAAATGAACACATATTTTCAAAACTACAAATTCTACAAAATAAAGCTATGAGAATCATTTTAAATAAAAACAAATATGCCAGGATTAAGTCTATGTTAGAAGAACTGCAGTGGTTGGATGTGAAAAATTTCATATATTATTTAGTTCTCGTTTTCATATTCAAATTAAAAAATCATTTATTACCACCACATTTAGAGAACTTTACAGAATTAAATAATCATTATCATAAATATGAAACTAGAGGCAGTATAGATTTTCATCTGCAAAATTGTAATAGTAGCATAACCAGTAAATCTATATTGAATAATGATATTAAACAGAGTTCGAATTTAAAAATGTTTAAGGTGAAATTAAAAAATCACTTTCTGAACAATCAAAATACATGGTGACATAATTTCAATTTTAATAGACAAGAATGTAAAATTACAGAAAATGGATTGAAGAAAAATATGAAACCGAATCATTATACAAAATTGACAATGCTAAATATCTTCAACATCAACAACCTCATTGCCAAAAAATCTAGTTGAAGAAATTATGTTTTGTGGGTATAACACTTCTAATGTCACTGAAATATATCATTAAACAGAAAGAAAGAATAGGCCGCGGAATGTTTGCTCGCTATATCCAGTATAAACATCGCACAAAAATTGGCTTGCATCGCAAATGACAACAACATACCTTAGGCAATGACACATCCAGAACCTTCCGCGACGCCATTCTTCTCCAGCTGACCGTTGACAGCGCCGTCTGTGACGTTATTTGCGACGGCCTCGTTCAGCTTGTCCGTCATCGTGTTGCCACCGACGCTCGGTATTTTCTTTTCTCTGAGTATCGGATGACTGTTCCTGGCGTTGTCTTGATTCGAGCTCGTCTTACGAGACCGACTCAGAACTGGCGACGCCACTTCGTTCAACGACGCCGAAACGGCTCGTTGGTATTCGGTGATTTGTTGTTGTTGGATCTTCGTTTCGAGGATACGCGACAGGACGGAGATTTGATTTTGTATGGCGAGCATGAATGCCTTGTATCCTAGGCTGCGAATATCAATTCGGTGAGTGAATGGCTGATAGAAGAAAAATTAGAAAATACGGGAAATATCATAAATTAGTGATGTATCTTTGGTTTCGACTGCGGACGGCCAACAATGGACGGCAGTTTCGTGCTATTTGGAAACTGCTCAGCATGGTACAGGCTTGGTCTAGGAGGATAACTAACAAGAGCTGTGCAACTCTATTTAGAGTATACATTTCTGTTGGTGTAATGACATTTATGATATTTTAGATTATTGTGAAATTCAGATATTTGCAGATCATACATTAATACACATATCAGATGAAAATATAGACACTGCAATAAAAATGCTGAATTCTGCATTGACAAAAATCATTAATTGGTTAAATGCAAATAAACTGAAATTGATTGCTTCTAAAACAAAATGTATGCTAATAGGGATCACAGTTACGATAAAAGGTGAAATAATTGAAAATGTTGAATCAAATATTTAGGTATACAGGGTGTCCCGAAAAAAGTGTGCAATATTCTACCAGCGGTTTCTAAAGCTTACAATTTTAAGCTCTAGAAACCGCTGTTAGAATATTGCACACTTTTTTCAAGATACCCTGTATACACACAACGTATCCGACAAATTTTAATCACATATGCACTGTTACGAAAGAAGTTGATATATTGATAGTAAACTAAAATTTGAGGATTACTATTTCAAAAATTGACGAAAAAACAAATTACTTTTATAGGCCTTCTCATAGTCTCAGTACAAATATCAACATGCATTTGCTTACCATTCAGTATTCGTCCAATAATTCAAGATGAGCAAACCTTGGCGAAGCCTCGACACAGACTCGATCGACTGATCTGGCGGTTTCGCAGCATTCACAGTTCGTAAAACAGCCATAGCATCTCTGAGCAATATTGATATTAACAACGACCATTCGAGGCAACCCGCTTCCATAAACAATTGAAGGAGGTACCTGATAACAAAAATGTATATACAGGGTGGGCCAGTGAGTTGAGCCGATTTCAAAAAATAGTAGAAAAAAACTACAAGCAATATTCTTATTCCTTGATTTAAAAAATGGCCGTTAAAAAGCTTTGAATATTAAAAAAATTACTTTTATAGAATTTCGCATAGCCTGAGCGTTTATTTAAAAAAAATGTGTACAACACTATTGTTCTTCCTCATTTGTTATATTGTGTGACTGTTTTGTTCACTGCAAACGAAACTGTATTTTCAAAACTACAAATATTACAAAATAAAGAATAAAGAATCATCTTGAGTAAAAATAAATATATTAGAATAAATTTTGTGCTGAAAAAACAACAATGATTAAATATAAAAAATTGCATAACCTACTTGGTTTCCATTTTCATATTCAAGTTAAAAAATCATCTACTAAATCACTTTTTAGATTGGTTTAGAAATTATTTGTCAAAAAGGATGCAAGTTACAAAAGTTAATGACACCATTTCATAAAAAATTGAAAATACGTTTGGTGTTCCACAGGGCAGTATCCTGGGACCACTTCTTTTTATTTTATGGAACAATATTAACAGATAAACGACAAATATCCGATGCATTCTTAAATTTTTTCACTAATGTTGGAGAAAATTTAGCATCCAGTATTAAAAAAATGGTTTCGAACGAAAAGTTCACAAAAACCCAACTTCCCAATTCATTCTTTTTAGAAAGCGTTAGTCCGATTGAAGTACAAGAAGCTATCCTATCACTTAAAACCAAAAAAAGTCCTGGTGTAGATGGTATCAAAGCCGACCATTTAAAAATAATAGCCTACGACTTAGCCGAACCACTTTCTTACGTCATTAATTGGTGTTTCCAATCTGGAATTTGTCCTGATGCATTTAAAACAACTGTTATTCATCAAATTATAGACCCATATCAGTACTATCGAATATAGCCAAAATTTTCGAAAAATTACTACAAAAAATGATATTACAATTTTTGGACAAAAACAAAATTATATGTTCTGACCAATATGGATTTAGAAAAGGAAAATCTACTACAGATGCAATTTTGGCTGCAATGGATGAAATTAATGTCAACAAAAAGATACCTACTATTGGTATCTTTGTTGATCTAAAAAATGCCTTTGATACGTTTAACCATGTCGAGCTTCTGAAAGTTATGGAAAGATTGGGATTTAGGGGAGCGTCACAAATCCTTTTAAAAAATTACCTTTCAAGTCGGGCACAGACTGTCAAAATCACTAACACTTACAGTAAAAAATGTACATCAAGTGTGGTGTGCCTCAAGGAACAGTACTAGGCCCACTATTATTTAGTCTCTACTTAAATGACTTATTCAAGATTAACAGTTCTGGAAAGATTATATGTTTTGCAGATGACACCCTCGTATTATATAAAGCTGATGACTGGAGCACACTGAAGCAAATAGCTGAAAAGGATTTTATAAGGATCATTGACTGGTTTGATACTAAAATTTTAACAGTTAACTTCAAAAAAACAAAATTTATTGCATTTACATCCTATTCAAAATTTTTACCTACCTTCGAACAAATTTCCGTTAATTATCATGGCCGAAAGACCAACATCGATAGAGTTAACACTTTGAAATATCTTGGAATATTTATAGACTCACATCTAAGGTGGGATAACCATATTATTAAATATGTTATCAAAAAAATTAGAAATGTTGCCTATAAACTCAAAATGCTTGCTAACATTCTTACAGAAAGTTATCTGCGAATCCTATACCATGCCTTAGTTGAAACCCATATAATATACGGCATCACAGCCTGGGGTGCCGCCTGCAAGACATATATTTCTGACCTGAATATAGCACAAAAAACTGTTTTGAAAGCCATTTTCCATAAGCCAAGATTATATCCAACAAACAACTTATATCAAGAAACAGGGATACTTGATACAAGACAACTTTATTTCTTACATGCCACCACCTTATACCATAGGTATTGTAATAAAAAGCAAAAATCCTATAAACACGAGCATAACACACGATTTCGAATAGGCTCATCTAATATCCAAAGACCACACAAAACATTATTCAAAAAATCATTTAAATTCTTAGCAGCTAAATTATATAATGTAGTACCAAACGAAATAAAGATACTTAATTTTGGAAAAAAATTTAGAAGAAAATTGAAAGACTGGGTTAGTAATGTGCAGCGAATGACTATACATAATTATATAGAAAACTAAAACTACAAAATTCCAATTACATTAATACCTTTTAGATTTAACAATAATTGTTATACACATATATGATTGATTGTTAGTTATTAAGATATAAACCACACACAGGCGATGCCTTCTGTGGTTTTTTCATATTTATTTGCCCAGTTTTTGTATTTTGGCGAATAATTATTATTATTATTATTATACATAAATGATTTACCTGCCATAGTCAAAAAATGCAAAATTCAGATTTTCGCCGATAACACTATGATTTATATAAGTACTAAAAATATTCAGTCTGGTATCTCTTATATAAATGAAGACTTGAAACTTTTGATATTCATTATGAAAAAGTTATAAATAAGATTAGTAGTAAAGTGGGATATTTATCGAGTGTTTCTGGATGTCTGTGTTCATATAGCAGAAAAATTATCTAAATATCATCATTCTTCCAAATTTCTTGTACTGTTCGACTATTCTATATTTAGCAAATAATTCCATTTTTGAAAGACTGCAAATTTTACAAAATAAGTGCATGCGAATAATACTAAATAAAGATAAATATACTCCAATTAGGCAAATGCTTAGCAAATTAAAATGGCTCAATGTAAAAAATTTTATCAAAAATCTTGTAATGATATTCATTTATAAAGTAAAAAATAATATATTTCCATCAAGTCTAACTAATTTAATATCATCAAATGTCGACCATCATTTAGATAATACCAGAAATAAAGATGACTTCCATTTAATGACCAAAAAGTATAACATATGCTACAAATCTGTATTCCATCAAGGGTTGATTGAATATAATAAATTATACTCAGAGATAAAAGACCAGAAAACTTTGACAAAATTTAAAGTAAAATTGAGAAATCACTTGTTAAATCCAGAATTATAGGTTGCCTAGCATTTACATCATACACCATATGGCTTGAATTTACTATTTCTAAGTTGTTTACAATTATTCTGTTTATGTAGCCAAATGTGCTAAATAAATCTTTCTACTACTACTTAAAAGAATTATTGGATTTTACTAGAGGGAGTATAGATCTTCATTTACAAAATTGTAGTAGCAGTATAGTAGTAGTATTTCAAAAAGGATTGTACGAATTTAATCAAGTAATTATATCAAGATGTGTGCCCGTTTGAAAATGTTTAAAGTGAAATAAAAAAAATATTTCATGGAAAACCAGAATTCATAGTAGTGAAATTTTGTATAAAAAGATGTAGTCTAGAAGACATAATATATTATGTGTTACACTGTGTAACATTTATATTGTAGCTTTAATTTTAAATAAATCTACAACGAAAACATCTTTGAATGAACGGTTATTTAAACATAGCTATTTTACCCACGCGAGAAATCACCTTTATCTTAATAATATGGGGTTGTCCAAAACGGACGCAGGAAAGTAAACGCATATTAAAACAAGAAAGATTGATATTCAAATCAAGTTGGGTACTTTATTTTGAAGGTTCATTTATACCATTTATGTATGAAAATTAATATCGCTCAAATGTTCACCACGACTGGATTTACAGACGTCCACGCGATGGTCGAAATTTTCAATGACATTTTGCAACATGGTCGGTTCTATGCCATTTAACTCGGCAATGATGGTGTTTTTGAGTTCTTGGAGGGTGGCTGGTTTATTGACGTAGACTTTGCTTTTCAAATATCCCCATAAAAAGAAGTCCAAGGGAATCAAATTGCACGATCTTGGTGGCCATGGCACATTTCCTCTGCGCGAAATCACGCGATCACCGAAGAAGGACTGCAATCGATGGATATTGACGTTGGTTGTGTGGCATGTTGCACCGGCTTGTTGAAAATAAACATCGTCCATATCCATTCCTTCAAGTTGCGGCAAAAAATAGTCCTCTATCATCACGTGATATCGCTCAGAATTGACGGTAACGACGTCCCCGGCCGCATTTTCGAAAAAGTAAGGTCGGATGATGCCTTTTGACCACAATGCACACCACACAATCACTTTTTGAGGATGCATCGGCTGCTCTTGATACTCACGGGGATTTTCGTTCGCCCAGATGCGGCAGTTTTGCTTGTTTATCGTCCCATTCAAAGTGAAATGCGCTTCGTCGCTGAACATGATTTTTGATGAAAAATTGGCATCAATTTGGCGGTGTTCAAGGAGCCAATCTGAGAACGTTCGGCGCGAAAAATGGTCGGCCCGACGCAGCTCTTGCGTCAATTGGATCTTGTAGGCGTGTACATTCAAATCCTTGTGGAGAATGCGGAGCAAACTGGTTCTCGAAATGCCCAATAATTCTTGACATCGACGCGTTGTTGATTGTTTCGGATCGTCTCTCACACTCTCCTTCACAACAGCAATATTTTCCGGTGTGCGAACGCTCCTTGGCCCGCCAGAGCCTGGCAGATTTGCCACAGAACCTGTTGCCTCGAATTTACGCACCAGACGACCGATGGTTGTTTCGTTTGGGCGGTTGTTGCGACCGAAATGTTCACGAAGCGCGCGAAAAGTGTTATTTATTTTTGCACCATTTTTGTAGTGCTCTTGAATAACTTCCATGCGGTCTTCAATCGAATACGACTCCATAGCGATCAATGGTAAACATTCAACTAACAAAATGACATTTCGGTGACAGAAAACAAAGATGGCGTCTATGTCAAATTGACGTTCACTTTCCTGCGTCCCTATTGGACAACCCTTTATAATAATAATCCGTATGACTTACCTTAGTTGGACCTCCGATCTGTGTGATCCTTTGCTGTCCATATTCGACAACTGCTCTAGAATCTGAGTGGACGGCACTTCCCAGTTGTCCGTCCCAGATGTTCCGATTTCCCTATCGTCGCCCCATACGGAGCTAACGGTACTCATCATGGACTCGTCTACCGAGGATTGTACTTGCATTTTCAGCGGCGTATTTACATCGTTCGCATATCTGGCGATGAAAATTGAATATGACAAAAATTGCGTCAAGCATATTGACTATGCAGTTCTCAGGAGGGAAAAGAAAAAATACTATGATAAGAAGATCGATGGCAATAAAAATAATTCTGAAATGATGTGGAGAACATTAAAGAATATTGTTTCTCTCAAATGCGTTTCGAAGATGGGGTAGTGACGGACAAATTAATTATAGCAGAAAAAATGAATACTTATTTTATAGAAACAGTAAATCAAATAGTGAAGACGATTGATGACGGTGATTCAAACTTATGTCCATTACAAGTATGTCAGAATTCAGCAATGAAGCAATTTAGGACAATTAACATTAACAATCTAAGAAAAGGTATCTCAAAATTGAAATCTAATAAGAATCCAAGTGAGAATCTCTCAAAAAATATTCTAAATGATTATTTCAATATAATTGGAGAGAAGTTATTATTATTGGTGAATCATTGTTTAGTACATGGTGAATTCCCATCAAAATTAAGGTGTTCCACCATTACTCCTATGCCAAAAATTCAAAATTCTCAGCTGTATACAGATATGCGACCGATTAATGTCTTGCCCGATGTCGAGAAGCTGTTCGAAGGAATAATATACGAACAAATCATAGAATTCATTGAAGAAACTAAAATTTTGATAAAAAATCAAGCTAGATTTAGAAAAAAATGTTCCACAGAAGCGGCAATCCAAATGGTGGTAGAAGACTGGAGAAGAAGTATAGAAGAGAAAGAATATATTGTAACAATATTTTTAGACTTCAAAAGGGCATTTGAGACTATAGATAGGGAAACATCGTTCATGAAATTGCGTCACTATGGCTTTAAATGATCAGTATTACACATTTTACAAAATTATTTAATAAATAGTAGTAAAAAAACTAAGTAAATTAGGGCCGTTACTATTTATTATTTATATAAATGATATCTCTGACGTTTTAGAACACTGCAAAATTCAAATATTTGCTGACGATACATTTATATATATAGCACATAAGCATTTGGACACTGCTTTAGAACTGTTAAATAGAGATACTGAAAAAATTATGAATTGGTTAAATGTCGATAAACTTTAAACACTAATTAAACAAAATATATCGGGAAAAATTTAGGTAACAATACAATTAAGTTCATGATTAATGATGAAAAAAATGAAGCAGTCGAGTCATTTAAATATCTTGGTATATAACGTATGTGGGTAGTAAGCTACTGTTTCACGAACATTATAAATACATTATTTTAAAAATTTCGAAAAAGATAAATTACTTCTATAGAGTTTCCCATAATCTTAGTATGTGTTCCAAAAAAAGTGCGTATAACTATACACTATAATTCTTCCCCATTTTTTATATTGTTCGACCATCTTGTTTACAGCAAATGAAAACATATTTTCAAAATTACAAATTCTACAAAATAAAGCTATGAGAATCATTTTAAATAAAAAACAAATATGCTAGTCTATGTTAGAAGAACTGCAGTGGTTGAATGTAAAAAATTTCATATATTATTTAGTCCTCGTTTTCATATTCAAATTAAAAAATCATTTATTACCACCACATTTAGAGAACAGAATTAAATAGCCATTATCATAACTACGAAACTAGAGGCAGTATAGATTTTCATCTGCAAAATTGTAATAGTAGCATAACTAGTAAATCTATATTTCAAAAGGGAGTATTTGAATTCAATAAATTGAATAATGATATTAAACAGACTTCGAATTTAAAAATGTTTAAGGTGAAATCAAAAAATCACTTTATGAATAATCAAAATACATAGTGACGTAATTTTAATTTTAATAGACAAGAATGTAAAATTACAGAAAATAGATTAAAAAAAAATATGTGACCGAATCATTATACAAAATTAACATTGTAATGCTAAATAAATCTTCAAAAAACAACAACAAAAAATGCACTTCCCACACAACACCGGATTACGTTCAGTACAAGTTTTCTATATATATTTTTATAATAAGCTCGCTGCCAGTTTTAAAGTGTTATGTGTGCCACAATTTAAGTCAAAAGTAAAAAACTTTGTTTCTGAAAATATGCCATAATTCTTTATATTGTTTAGTTTTGAACTTGTGTAATGGTGTATCTGTTAACTGTGACTATATATGATTGTTTGGGTGGAAATTAAAATTTTCCCTTTTTTATTCTCCTTTTTTTTCACAACTGTATACTAATTCTCAATCTCCACATGTAAATTTTAACACATTGATGTTAGTTGTGAGTTATTTTTAATAGGTTTATTATTATTATATATTAACGTTGTTTATATTTCTCTCAACTTCGCATTGTAATTTTTTTTTGCTCTGGTTGGTATGAAACGCAGCTTTTAGCTGAAATCCGCCAGGTTAAATAAATACTCTTATTATTATTATTATTAATTTAGTTCCTCTGAGTTAGCTACAAACATGTAAAAGGTTGTCCAATAGGGACGCAGGAAAGTAAACGTCAATTTGACATAGACGCCATCTTTGTTTTCTGTCACCGACATGTCATTTTGTTAGTTGAATGTTTACCATTGATCGCTATGGAGTCGTATTCGATTGAAGACCGCATTAAAGTTATTCAAGAGCACTACAAAAATGGTGCAAAAATTAAAAACACGTTTCGCGCGCTTCGTGAACATTTCGGTCGCAACAACCGCCCAAACGAAACAACCATCGGTCGTCTGGTGCGTAAATTCGAGGCAACAGGTTCTGTCGCAAATCTGCCAGGCTCTGGCCGGCCAAGGAGCGTTCGCACACCGGAAAATATTGCTGTTGTGAAGGAGAGTGTGAGAGACGATCCGAAACAATCAACAACGCGACGATCCCAAGAATTGGGCATTTCGAGAACCAGTTTGCTCCGCATTCTCCACAAGGATTTGAATGTACACGCCTACAAGATCCAATTGACGCAAGAGCTGCGTCGGGCCGACCATTTTTCGCGCCGAACGTTCTCAGATTGGCTCCTTGAACACCGCCAAATTGATGCCAATTTTTCATCAAAAATCATGTTCAGCGACGAAGCGCATTTCACTTTGAATGGGACGGTAAACAAGCAAAACTGCCGCATCTGGGCGAACGAAAATCCCCGTGAGTATCAAGAGCAGCCGATGCATCCTCAAAAAGTGACTGTGTGGTGTGCATTGTGGTCAAAAGGCATCGTCGGACCTTACTTTTTCGAAAATACGGCCGGGGGTTCAATTCTGAGCGATATCACGTGATGATAGAGGACTATTTTTTGCCGCAACTTGAAGGAATTGATATGGACGATGTTTATTTCCAACAAGATGGTGCAACATGCCACACAACCAACGTCAATATCCATCGATTGCAGTCGTTCTTCGGTGATTTCGCGCAGAGGAAATGTGCCATGGCCACCAAGATCGTGCGATTTGACTCCCTTGGACTTCTTTTTATGGGGATATTTGAAAAGCAAAGTCTACGTCAACAAACCAGCCACCCTCCAAGAACCCAAAAACAACATCATTGCCGAGATAAATGCCATAGAACCGACCATGTTGCAAAATGTCATTGAAAATTTCGACCATCGCGTGGACGTCTGTAAATCCAGTCGTGGTGAACATTTGAGCGATATTATTTTTCATACATAAATGGTATAAATGAACCTTCAAAATAAAGTACCCAACTTGATTTGAATATCAATCTTTCTTGTTTTAATATGCGTTTACTTTCCTGCATCCGTTTTGGACAACCCCATATAACAAAAAAATAGATCGTGAGCCAAACATGCCCACAAGCCACACCCAAATAAAAATTTTGATGAACAAAAAGTTATTTTAAAACAAACAAAAACTGACTTTGATTCAATTATTTTGCCGGAAACACGGTACATAACAGACACTTCGTTATTTACCATACAGGAATATAACATATGCTCAGTGACATTAGAAGTGTTACACCCAGAAATAATAATTTATTCAACTTGATTTTTTGGCAATGAGGTAGTCTTACATCAAGAATGAGACGATAACATTCTCTCGAAATTTTATTGAAGTAATAAGAAAAAGATTAATAATGTGTTGGGCGATCCCGCAGCTGAATACACTCCTGTATACGCCGTTCTCCGCGGCGTCGTCTCATGCTTCTTCGACCATTGTGCGTACGTAGACAGAATCGCGATTCGTCGCTGAACATTATGCCAATCTACCTCCCAATGTTTCCGTCCTCTGCTCCAGGTCAATTGTTGACGACAGTGGTCCGCAGTCAGAGGAAGCACTAACCTCGTTGTCTAAAGCGTCTCTCTTGACGCTCTGTGGTTCGCCTCGGTGGACCAGTTGGCCTTCTTCGTGTTCCTCTACTTTCTTCTATCCACACACGACACACACGCATTACCGTCAAAGTCGTTAGCATGGTGATAATTTGGACGTATTCGAACTCGAGACATTTTGTAAATGAAAGCAATATCTAAAAATATCTGTACTACTCAGCTCTCAGAAACTGCTCTCTTCACAAAAACTAAGAGATAACATTTTAACAAAGGTAAACATAAACGTTGACACCACAGCATGTTTTAAATAAAGGCAAAAAACAAGTTGAAGAAATCATTTTTCTGGCTATAACACTCCTAATGTCACTAAGTATAGTTTATGACGATGAGATAACGAACGTATTTATTAATCTCGAGTGTATTAAATAATGAAGAAATTGTCGTTCTCACCTTCCACCTGTCTTTTTGTCCAAGTCGCTACCAATCCCATTGACGACTTTCCTCTTATCAGAAATGCTATCACAGACACTCCCATCATCTACATCGGACTCGGCGATGTGACTGTCCTGTTCTAACGTGTTGACAGGCGTGAGCAGACCCGTACACGGCAGTCCCTGGAAGGACATATACCCGCTGTCCCCCACCCTGCTGGAAGGCATGGGATAATTGAAGCAGTCCAGTTTCAGGGATTTCAGGTGGTCCTCGATCGCTTGGCTGGTGGGGCTCTCCAATGGGGCTGGAAAAATCGTGTCTTCGTCTAATGTTTCGAGCCATTATTTGCAATTAACTACGAGGGTTGTTTCAAAAATATACTTCCCACAAGGTTTTTTTTATTTGAAAAGAATAATTTATCTTTGGAAACGTTGATCCTTAAGCTATTTTTGATAAATCAAAAAATATTGTTATTGTGTAATAATTTTTATCAAGGTTTTTATAGATGAACGAAAGCAAAGAAAATGCCGCCGTATTTGTTGAGTGGTTAGTTCGAAGACCGTGTTGTTTAACAGATAGAATATTGTGCTCATTCGAAAATGCATAAATTCTAGTATACACTATTTTTTCAAATAGTTTTGAGCAGTCAGACGGTAATGTTATGGGGCGATCATTTTCTAAGAGTTCAGTACTGCCTTTTTTGTGGACAAGCAACACTTCAACTACTTTCAACAGATCCCGGAAAGGTACCAGTTGCCATAAGAAATCAAGAAACAAGAGAAGAAAAAATATTATGAAAACAAAATCGATAGAAATAAAATTAACAGTAAAATGATGTGGAAGACACTAAAAAATATTGTATCTCCCAGTAGGAAGAATGAATTATCAAGAATGTGTTTCGAAGATGGTATAGTAACACAAAAAATATTGATTGCAGAACGAATGAACGCTTATTTTATAGAAAGTATAAATGAGATAGTGGAATCAATCGAAGATGGGGATCCAAATCTATGTCACATGCAAGTAGTAGTAGTAGTAGAAAGATTTATTTAGCACATTTGGCTACATAAACAGAACAATTGTAAACAACTTAGAACTAGTAAATTTAAGCCATATGGTGTATGATGTAAATGCTGGGCAACCTATAATTGTAGATTTAACAAGTGATTTCTCAATTTTACTTTAAAGTTTGTTTTTCTGGTCTTTTATCTCCGAGTATAATTTATTATATTCAATCAACCCTTGATGGAATACAGATTTGTAGCATATGTTATACTTTTTGGTCATTAAATGGAAGTCATCTTTATTTCTGGTATTATGTAAATGATGGTCGACATTTGATGATGTTAAATTAGTTAGACTTGATGGAAATATATTATTTTTACTTTATAAATGAATATCATTACAAGATATTTGATAAAATTTTTACATTGAGCCATTTTAATTTGCTAAGCATTTGCCTAATTGGAGTATATTTATCTTTATTTAGTATTATTCTCATGCACTTATTTTGTAAAATTTGCAGTCTTTTCAAAAATGGAATTATTTGCTAAATATAGAATAGTCGAACAGTACAAGAAATTAATTTTTCTGCTATATGAACTCAGACATCCAGAAACTCTCGATAAATATCCCAGTTTACTACTAATCTTATTTATAACTTTTTCATAATGAATATCAAAATTAATCGAGAGTCAACAAAAACCCCCAGGTATTTAAAATTTTCTACGAATTCAATATCTTCACCATGAATATTCAGTTGAACATTTGTACATTGTTTTTTCCGATTTACAAAGCTTTCGTTTTACTTGCATTTAATTTTAGTCTGTTAGATGCTAACCATTTTGAGACAAGCTTCCAGTCTTCATTTATATAAGAGATATCAGACTGAATATCTTTAGTACTTATATAAATCAAAGTGTCATCGGCGAAAATCTGAATTTTGCATTTTTTTGACTATGGCAGGTAAATCATTTATGTATAAAATAAAAAGAAGTGGTCCCAGGATACTGCCCTGTGGAACACCCAACGTATTTTCATTTTTGATGAAAATAGTGTCATTAACCTGCATCCTTTTAGACAAATAATTTCTAAACCAATCTAAAACACTTCCTGTTATACCAAGTTACTCGTAATTCTTCTATGACACAATTCCAAACAATAAATATCAGCCGTCTTTCAAAATCTATTACAAGATTTAAATCGAATAGAAATCCTAGTGAACATCTTTCAAAAATGGTTATGAAGGGATGTTTCAACATTATTGGAGAGAAGTTATTATTGTTAGTGAATCACTGTTTAGTGTATGGCGAATTTCCTTCAAAATTAAAATGTTCTACAATTACTCCTATTCCAAAGTGCAAAATTCTGAGTTATATACAAACAGTGGCCAATTAATGTACTGCCAGATGTCGAGAAGCTCTTAGAAGGAATCATAAATATATGAACAGGTCATTGAATATATTGAAGAAAATAAGATACTGACAAAATTTCAAGCAGGATTCAGAAAAAAGTATTCTACAAACAGCAATTGAAATGGTAGTAGAAGAATGGAGGCGAAATATGGATGAAAAAAGTTTACAGTAACATTGTTAGATTTCAAGAGAGTATTTGAGACTATTGACAGGGAGAAATTGTTAACGAAATTGCATTGGTTAAATGTAAATAAACTTAAAATAAACACAAACAAAACAAAATATATGCTAATAGGAAAATCTTTGCATCAAAATACGATAAATCTTCAATTAATCATGAAAAAATTGTATCAATCAAATCATTTAAATATTTGGGCATATACGTAGACAGTAAATTAAAATTTGAAGCGCACTATGCGTTTATTCTAAAAAATTGTGTACAACACTATCATTCTTCCTCATTTAATGCTGAAAGAACTACAATGGTTAAATATCAAAAATTTCATAGCCTACTTGGTTTTCATTTTCATGTTCAAGTTAAAAAGTCATCTTAGAAAATTTTACTGTACTGAACAATGAGTGCCACAATTATTCTACTATACAGGGTGACTTTGAAGTTGAGTCATTAATTTTCAGATAATGATTGTAGAAGGAAGATAAACCAAAATATGTGTGTAAAAATTAAAAAAAATTAAAAAATTTTTTTTACCTTGTTTTATAAAGTATCCTCCCGACAAGTATTTCAGTGCGGACCTGTATTTGATCGTGAGGTCCCCTGTGAGGTCTTGAGTCACCTGATTCACGAGCCCGTTGTACTACATTAACAAAGGCACGAGAGGTTGGTTGCACTCGATTGGGAAACCAATCCGCATAAACATGTGCCATTTTTTATTTCGTTTGAGCCACGCAACAAACACCACTACTCACCGCGTTACCGACTGACACTGACTGTATGTATACAACTGAATAAAATAATTGTAAAAACATCGTTCCAAATTCTTTCGCTTTTTTGTTTCCGATGCGATGAACCGATAAGGCGGATTATATCCGTTGTCGCCAAACACGAGCACATGATATTATTATTGAGACAGGGCGGTACTCAAACTTCCAAAGGGCTATAACTTTGTTACTTTAATTTTACCAGAAAAATGGTAAAGGAAAAAAACATTTCTTTTGATCAGATCTACTCAGTGTTAAAATAAATGACTCAACTTCGAAGTATATACTATATAGAGGAAGTATAGACTTTCATTTACAAAACTGCAGTAGCAATATAACGAGCAAGTCAGAATTTCAAAAGGGATTGTACGGATTTAATAAATTAAGTAATGATATCAAGATGTGTGTCAGTTTGAAAATGTTCAAAGGGAAATTGAAAAAATATCTCATGGAAAACCATAATTCATAGTAGTGAAATTTTGTATAAAAATATGTATTTATACTTTTTTGCTTATTTTATAACTTGTTATCACCTATTTTATTTTAATTCTGTTATGTATATTTTTGGCCCTTTTCACGTTTTCACGACTACACCATCGTATCGAAAAGCACGAAAAGTGCCTTAGGCTATAAATCGACTACATCAATATATGAAAACTCACACGACGCACTCTTCTTAGGAGTAGTTGTCCCAGGCGATGGATAAGGCCAGTTGAAATCATCATGGATCTGTTTCAGCGCCTTTACGAAATCATCTATTCGGCCAGCTCTGTCCCTTTCTTTGGCTAGCCATGTGACCAGGTGGAAATCTAGATGCGCAGCAAAATATCCTAGGTCAGTCAGGCGTCGCGCTGACAATAGTCGGCGAGCATGCTTTTGCAGGATGACGTCGATGAAGAACTCTTCAGCTGTGTTGTTTGGAGATCCTCTGGAACAACGACAATGATAAAGCACAATTATCACATAACAAGAAAAAATAGAATATATGGAGCACGATGTCGTTCTAGGTTCTCACTAGACCTCGATGAATATAAAAACTTCTCATCAACGATACGAAATATACATGAACTAATCCAGAACCTAAGGATAAGTTGATGCCTCACTTCAATACCTCAATAATTTGCACGATCATAACACCTCTCTTATCCATTTTTGAGTTCTATTTTTTTTTAATTCCATCTATTTTATTTATACAGGGTGTCCGCAAAGTTGGGGTTTTCCTTTACACGACGTGTAGATCTTGAAAACATAAGCAATTTTTCTTAGTACCATATACACCAATGTCTTAAGGGAACCGAGATAAAGGGCTCTGCAACATCAAAAATATCTGAATGCCGTCCTGTAGCCGCGACTCGCGACATCCCCGAGTGGTACTAGGACACTAACTCAACCCGACGACAGAACTGGGTCGGGGTCAGTGTGTCAGGTCTGTTTGCAACCTTCAACCGACGGTTACGGTCACGCGTGTAGAGGTAAACGAACCCGTATAATCGATTGCGTTTCAAAAAACAACAAGCACTAGAGACGTGGATAGAGGAGTGCAAGTATCAAAAACTAAAGTGTCCAACGTGTACAAGCCCTTCAACCTGACGATTTCCCAGCAAGAGTGCGGTTTTGTGAGTGGTTGTTGCATCAACATGACAATAATCCGGACTTTTTGAAGTGCATATTGGTGACAGACGAATCTACGTTCACGCGTAATGGGGTGAATAACTTTCGCAACACTCATGTTTGGTCAGTAGAAAATCCGCACGCTGTCCGTCGGGCACATTTTCGGTGAATGTTTGGGCTGGCATGGTGAACGGTATGCTCATTGGACCATTTATTCGATTGGACGGGATGCAATACCTAGACTTTTTACGCAACATTTTGCCTTTCTTGTAAGAAGATGTGCCATTAAGTGTAAGACAATCAATGTGGTTTCTGCACGATGGTCATATTTGTTACCTCTGTTCGTGGTCTGCACCACCGCCGGCGTCTGCTCGGTAGCGCATCAGCTGATTTCATTTTCTGTTGGAGCGGTATGATTTCGGGCAGAGACGTACTTAGCCCTTCTCGTCAACTGGAGAGTGAGTACTTTTTCCTTTATTTTTTTTTTACTTGGTCGCCCTCGTTTCACTACACATTACCTTTGTTATTCCAAGGGTAGTTGTTTCTGAAAAGGAAAACCCCAACTTTGCGGACACCCTGTATATTTTAAACACAACTATCTTTTAATCTGTATGTACCACGTTTTTTCAATGTTTATTTTAGCTAAATGTTTGTCTATTTTTATGTTATATTTCAATGTTTGTTTATTTTGACTACCATATACTAATGTATGTTATTTACTTATTTGTTTTCTGTATTTTTTTTATTTTATTGTACTACTACTTGTATGTCAACATATGATCTGACAGAAATGAAATAGAGCGAAGAAGATACGAGGGTTGTTTCAAAAATAAGGTCCCCAACGCTGCAGGTCACGATTAGTGTTCATTCGAGGTAGCGTGAGCGTCCAGCGCTATATCCACGAAGTTTTACAACCACATACGAGGGTGGTCCCAGAAGTACACGGCCCGACCTAGAGATGGAGATAGTTATTTGAAAAATATCATTGTATTAGACAGTATGCAACCTGTAAAGCATATGTGTTTGTTTGGCAGCCATCAATACTGAACGTTTTCATTGAATTTGTGAAAATGGAGAATATTGGGCATCGTTATGTGGTACAATACCTTTATTTCAAAGGCCTCAACCCAACCAATATAAAAGCTGAACTGGGTGAGTCTGCTCATTCGTTTACAACAGTAAAATATTGGGTAGCAGAGTTTAAACGACGCCGTATGAGCTGTCAAGACGAGCATCGCAGTGGTCGACCAAATGAGGTGACGACTCCAGAAATGGTGAAGAAAATTCACAAAGCGGTACTGAATGATCGTCGACTGAAAGTGCGCGAGCTAGAAGACATAGTAGGCATTTCAAAAAGCGCGGTTCATCGCATGTTATCTGAAAATTTGGACATGAGAAAGCTGTGTGCAAGATGGGTGCCGCGATTGCTCACAATCGAGCAAAAACAGTGTCGTGAAGATGTTTCAATTGAGTGTTTAGCGAAGTTTCACAGCAACAAAGCAGAATTTTTGCGTCGTTTCATAACCATGGATGAAACATGGGTCCATCACTTCACACCCGAGACAAAAGAACAAACAAAACAAAAGGGACAACCGGCTCCAAAGAAGGCTAAGACCGTTTCATCTGCAGGCAAGGTTATGGCGTCGGTTTTTTTGGGATGCGCGTGGGATAATTTTCATTGACTATCTTGAAAAAGGTAAAACTATCAACGGCGAGTATTATACGAACTTATTGCAACGTTTGGGCGATGAAATCAAGCAAAAACGGCCGCATTTCGTTGGGTCGGGTACTGCTGGGACCACCCTCGTATGCTTCCATTTTTTGAAGTATTGCACTTTTTCAGCAGAACAATGCTTGACCTCATGTCGCACGTGTTCGTTTAGACTTTTAGAAGCATCCGGAGTAAATCTGCTTCAGTGGCCTACTCGATCTCCAGACCTTTCCCCCATCGAAACATGAATGGGACATGATGGTAAGAAGGCTGCAAAACCGCACCCTCCACAAATATTGGAGGCTCCACGGAACCAAATTCAGATGGCCTGCGATATAATACACCAAGAAGACACCAATCACCTGGTCCAATCAATGACGCGACGACTTAACGAATGTGTAACGAAGACACATTATTAACATTACGGTATTTTGCGAAATTTCGAGTTAAAATTGTAAAAGTATGCTCAAAATCACAGCACTCCTAGTCGGTGCTGCATTTTCTATGTAATTTAGTGTAATTAAAAGAATAACACTGGTCAACACTGGTTTTGCCACACGAACTTTGACAGCTAATTTTGTTTTCATCAGTCTACCCTCATTATTACATGACAACTGTCATATGTCTATTAGCCTCATATTTGTTGTGATACGGTAATACTCATAACTAGTACTACGGCAGTAAATTAACAGAAACGCTTACAAGTAAATCCTTATAAAAATATTTGTTGTTGAATTTGAACACTTTTTTGTGATTTATTAACCTTGTGAATATGTCGAGGAAGTGTAATAATGATCCTAACTCTTTTTGTTATGTCTGCGGAGAACTAACATTCAAGAAACAACGACGAAATTTTACGAATCTTGTGTTGGGAGTGTTATCACCAATGTTTTGGTTTTTCTGTCGCCCATCAAGACAAATCCTGGGCCTCTCATGTCTGTTGCATAACGTGTGTGAAAAATTTAACTGACTGGAAGAAAGGTGCACGACCTATGCCGTTTGCTGTACCCATGATATGGACTGAACAGCGAGATCACGTTTCAGATTGCTATTTTTGTCTCACAGACATAAAAGGTATAAATTACAAGAAAAAAACCACAGTTATTTATCCTAACTTATCTTCGGCTATAAGACCAGTCTCTCATTGTAAAAAATTGCCAGAACTAATACCAGTTGCAACTACGTCTGTTGAGAACAATTCACAACCGTCCACTTCAGTTGAATGTGTTGACGAGGACGATGACTTTGAGTTAAAAGGAATTGTAAACGAGCCACATTTGATAACTCAAGGAGACCTAAATGATTTGGTTCGGGATTTAAATTTGTCAAAAAAGCAGTCAGAACTATTAGGATCACGTCTAAAAGAATGGAATTTGCTACATCATAATACAAAAGTTAGCTATTTTCGAAACCGTGAGCAACACTTCAGAACGTATTTTTCTCAGGATGGAGATTTGGTGTTTTGCAATAACATAAATGAGATTATGAAAATGTTGGACATAGATTTTGATTTCTCTCAGTGGCGTTTATTCATTGATTCTTCGAAAGCAAGTCTAAAAGCAGTGTTATTGCATAATGGAAATAAGCTTCCGTCTGTACCTCTGGCCCATGCTGCAAATATGAAAGAAACCTATGAAAATATGAAACTTTTACTTGAAAAAATAAATTACAGTACATATTCCTTCAAAATCTGCGGTGATCTTAAAGTTGTTGCACTATTACTTGGACTTCAGCTGGGTTATACAAAGTTTTGCTGCTTTTTATGTGAATGGGATAGCCGAGACAGAACTAATCACTATATAAAAAAAACATGGCCTACGCGTGCATCGTTAGTTCCTGGGCAAAAAAACGTAAAGTATTTACCCCTTGTACAGCCAAATAATGTGCTTCTACCACCATTGCATATCAAATTAGGATTAATAAAAAATTTTGTCAAGGCAATGGATCGCAATGGGAGTGGATTTTTGTATCTAAAAGAAAAATTCCCTAAAATAAGTGATGCAAAGATAAAAGAGGGTATTTTTGTTGGCCCTCAAATTAGGGAGTTAATAAAAGATTCAAGATTTGAAGAAAAATTAAGCGATTTAGAAACATCTGCATGGAAGGCTTTTAAAAATGTTGTTTCAAATTTTTTGGGTAACCACAAGAGTGACAGCTACAGAGAGTTGGTTAGCGAGCTATTATTGTCATATCAAGCATTGGGTTGTAACATGTCACTTAAGATCCATTTTTTAGACTCGCACCTGGATTTTTTTCCTGACAATTTAGGGGCTGTCAGCGACGAGCACGGTGAGAGGTTCCATCAGGACATTTCTAATATGGAAAAGCGGTACCAGGGCAAATGGAGCCCAAATATGTTAGCAGATTACTGCTGGACAATTAAAAGGGACCAACCAGAAGCTAAATTTCCAAGAAAATCTTAGATTATTAAGTCATTTATAAAAAAAAATAACTTTTGATTTACGAGATCTGTGTTTTTTCTTAATATTTTAAATTACTCAATAGAATAAAATCCTTGTCTAGCAATTTTTTTTAACTGTTTATTTTTTCTTACAATCACCAATTAAAGTAAAGAATATCAAAAAAGTCCGTGTGGCACACAAAGTTAAAATTTTGTTGACCAGTGTAATTATACAAAATTTTCATTGTAGTATTAATGCTAAATAAATCTTCAACGAACAAACAAACTCTTCTTCCAACATATTATTCTTTTTACTTACTTGCTTTCTTGTTTATTTCCAACCGAAGTGACAGATTTCTTCCTATCTGGCTTAGGACTCTCTATCACGCTGGCGACTTTCTCACTATTGGACCTTTCCAATTGTTTCGGCGACACTGTAGTGCTATAACTCCTCACCCTCGGCCCTTGGACATTCCCCAGTATTAACGAGAGATCTTCGGCGTTTGGGGTAACGGGAGTAGTTTGTTGAGCCATCGTAAGTTTTGGGGGTAGTATATATGAAGCTCGAGGAGATTCGGATTCTACGTCTTTTGGATCTGGAATAGTAGATTGCGATCGTTCATTAAATACGCGGGAATGCAAAAAACAATAGATTCAATAGTATTTGAACACCCAGAAAACAAGGAAACTTATGGGAGTTATTGAAGAAAATAATATCTGTATGACACATTCTTAGCAACATACAGGGTGTAAACGTTATGATAGTCATTATTTTTTTAGCGAAATTGTGCTTTAGTTGTTATTGGACCAGCCCCATAAACCATCCCTTTAAGTTCTCCCCAATACCAGAAATAAATAAGCACTGAATAGTTTTTTTTGTTGTTATGATTTTAAAAGGAAATATGCAGGTGTTCAAATACTTTTGAACGGTAGTGTAATTGAATAGCAGAAAGTGGAAAATATCCCACTTTCTAAGCCACTGGCATTGTTATACACGGTATCCCGTTTCAATCTCCCACCTCAATACTTCGCAAAACTCACTCAAGTACGAGGTCTGTAAATTAAGTAATGAGACTGATTTTTTCAATTTTTTTGTTCAAGTATATTCAGAATTTGATATTGTCGCCGTCAAAATAACTTCCTTGTGAGGGCTCACAGCGTTGGAGACGGTTTTTCCACTCTGAGACTCCGATACTGGATTAGCCTTCAACCGTTTGAACGTTTTCGACTGTGCCAAAATGAGTTCAATCGAGGTGATTATTCAACTTCGGGAAGAGGACTCAGGTAGTAGTAGTAGTAGAAAGATTTATTTAGCACATTTGGCTACATAAACAGAATAATTGTAAACAACTTAGAAATAGTAAATTCAAGCCATATGGTATATGATGTAAATGCTGGGCAATCTATAATTGTAGATTTAATAAGTGATTTCTCAATTTTACTTTAAATTTTGTGAAAGTTTTCTGGTCTTTTATCTCTGAGTATAATTTATTATATTCAATCAACCCTTGATGGAATACAGATTTGTAGCATATGTTATACTTTTTGGTCATTAAATGGAATTCATCTTTATTTCTGGTATTATCTAAATGATGGTCGACATTTGATGATGTTAAATTAGTTAGACTTGATGGAAATATATTATTCTTTACTTTATAAATGAATATCATTACAAGATTTGCCTAATTGGAATATATTTATCTTTATTTAGTATTATTCTCATGCACTTATTTTGTAAAATTTGCAGTCTTTCAAAAATGGAATTATTTGCTAAATACAGAATAGTCGAACAGAAATTTGGAAGAATGATGGTATTATAGATAATTTTTCTGCTATATGAACTCAGACATCCAGAAACTCTCGATAAATATCCCACTTTACTACTAATCTTATTTATAACTGTTTCATAATGAATATCAAAAATTAATCGAGAGTCAACAAAAACCCCCAGGTATTTAAAATTTTCTACGAATTCAATATCTTCATCATCAATATTCAGTTGAACATTTGTACATTGTTTTTTCCGATTAACAAGGCTTTCGTTTTACTTGTATTTAATTTTAGTCTGTTAGGTGAGGCGAATAAGGAGGCCGAGGAGCCGCAGATACGTTTTTACTGACCAAAAACTCGTTTATTGACATTACTGCGTGACAAGGAGCATTGTTCTTGACGTTTCGTCTCATACGAATGACCCGTTTTCGGAGTGTTTCAAGAACCTCCCGGTAAAAGTGTTGGTTGACCGTTTGGCCTTGAGGCAAAACAAATCAGCAAATGCATGACCTGCGACTTCATCTTTACTGCTTTTTTTTACGTTGCCAGTCTCATTACTCAATTTTCAGACCTCGTAGGACGTATTGAAAAGTAGTGCAAACGTTCTTACCAATAGCTCTAAGAAATCGCACCAAGTCTTTTGCTAATTCCCACATCGACTTCTCAAGGGCAGTGTTCAATAATATTGTTGCATACTGTCTACTGACAGATGATGTTTCTAGGTTCTGGAAAACAAAACAGATGGATTTTTCATATTTTTTAACAAGGAATCACCCTCTAAAATATCCCCGTCTATTTCTCGAACACCCTGTATTTATATCTTCTCTTAGTGTAGCGATTACGATGCCTTATCAGTGCCTAAATTGATTATTTTCTTTCAAAACTATGTCGTCAACTATTGTAAATGGGTAACCGCTGAACAATAAATGCTATTATTATCAAAAACCGGCTACCGTGAAACCAAGCTAACCAAAATACCAGTAGGAGAGTTCACTTTGATTAAAAAAAAAAATACAATCTTAATGAAAAGAAAATATTTATTACTATCAGCATATTCGTGAATTCGGCGGGTTTTATTTCTTAAATATCATTCCGTCCAAATGTTTGCCATTTTTCGGACACACTCTTCTAATCGCGCACGCAAATTCTGAAACACTCTCTTGCAGAATTCCGTCGAATGTTGCCTTCAGTGTTCGTGTATTATTGATTTGAGATAACCCCACAAAAAATAATCGCAGGGCGTGAGGTCGGGTGACCTGGGAGGTCAGTGAATGTCTCCAAACTTCGAAAAGTGATTTCACCGTGTCCATCCATTCTCTGGAAGTACGGGCAGTGACCCCATCCTGTTGAAACCATGTGTTTCTGTTAAATCGACGTCCTGGTCTTACAATAGGAGCAAAAAAAGTGTCAATCATGTCCTTGTATTGCTCGGAATCTTCTTCAAAGAAATACGGCCCAATAATACCGCTAGAGGATATGGCGCACCGAACAGTCACCTTTGGACTATATAGCTGTTGTTAATGTTTCTCTTTTGGGTTTGTTGGTGCCCAATATCACTGGTCAACAAAATTTTAACTTTGTCGTGCCACACGGACTTTTTTGATATTTTTTACTTTAATTGGTGATTGTAAGAAAAAATAAACAGTTAAAAAAAATTGCTGGACAAGGATTTTATTCTATTGAGTAATTTAAAATATTAAGAAAAAACACAGATCTCGTAAATCAAAAGTTATTTTTTTATATAAATGACTTAATAATCTAAGATTTTCTTGAATATTTAGCTTCTGGTTGGTCCCTTTTAATTGTCCAGCAGTAATCTGCTAACATATTTGGGCTCCATTTGCCCTGGTACCGCTTTTCCATATTAGAAATGTCCTGATGGAACCTCTCACCGTGCTCGTCGCTGACAGCCCCTAAATTGTCTGGAAAAAAATCCAGGTGCGAGTCTAAAAAATGGATCTTAAGTGACATGTTGCAACCCAATGCTTGATATGACAATAATAGCTCGCTAACCAACTCTCTGTAGCTGTCACTCTTGTGGTTACCCAAAAAATTAGAAACAACATTTTTAAAAGCCTTCCATGCAGATGTTTCTAAATCGCTTAATTTTTCTTCAAATCTTGAATCTTTTATTAACTCCCTAATTTGAGGGCCAACAAAAATACCCTCTTTTATCTTTGCATCACTTATTTTAGGGAATTTTTCTTTTAGATACAAAAATCCACTCCCATTGCGATCCATTGCCTTCACAAAATTTTTTATTAATCCTAATTTGATATGCAATGGTGGTAGAAGCACATTATTTGGCTGTACAAGGGGTAAATACTTTACGTTTTTTTGCCCAGGAACTAACGATGCACGCGTAGGCCATGTTTTTTTTATATAGTGATTAGTTCTGTCTCGGCTATCCCATTCACATAAAAAGCAGCAAAACTTTGTATAACCCAGCTGAAGTCCAAGTAATAGTGCAACAACTTTAAGATCACCGCAGATTTTGAAGGAATATGTACTGTAATTTATTTTTTCAAGTAAAAGTTTCATATTTTCTTTCATATTTGCAGCATGGGCCAGAGGTACAGACGGAAGCTTATTTCCATTATGCAATAACACTGCTTTTAGACTTGCTTTCGAAGAATCAATGAATAAACGCCACTGAGAGAGATCAAAATCTATGTCCAACATTTTCATAATCTCATTTATGTTATTGCAAAACACCAAATCTCCATCCTGAGAAAAATACGTTCTGAAGTGTTGCTCACGGTTTCGAAAATAGCTAACTTTTGTATTATGATGTAGCAAATTCCATTCTTTTAGACGTGATCCTAATAGTTCTGACTGCTTTTTTGACAAATTTAAATCCCGAACCAAATCATTTAGGTCTCCTTGAGTTATCAAATGTGGCTCGTTTACAATTCCTTTTAACTCAAAGTCATCGTCCTCGTCAACACATTCACCTGAAGTGGACGGTTGTGAATTGTTCTCAACAGACGTAGTTGCAACTGGTATTAGTTCTGGCAATTTTTTACAATGAGAGACTGGTCTTATAGCCGAAGATAAGTTAGGGTAAATAACTGTGGTTTTTTTCTTGTAATTTATACCTTTTATGTCTGTGAGACAAAAATAGCAATCTGAAACGTGATGTCGCTGTTCAGTCCATACCATGGGTACAGCAAACGGCATAGGTCGTGCACCTTTCTTCCGGTAAGTTAAATTTTTCACACACGTTATGCAACAGACATGAGGGGCCCAGGATTTGTCTTGATGGGCGACAGAAAAACCAAAACATTGGTGATAACACTCCAACACAAGATTCGTAAAATTTCGTCGTTGTTTTTTGAATGTTAGTTCTCCGCAGACATAACAAAAAGAGTTAGGATCATTATTACACTTCCTCGACATATTCACAGGGTTAATAAATCACAAAAAAGTGTTCAAATTCAACAATAAATATTTTTATAAGGATTTACTTGTAAGCGTTTCTGTTAATTTACTGCCGTAGTACTAGTTATGAGTATTACCGTATCACAACAAATATGAGGCTAATAGACATATGACAGCTGTCATGTAATAATGAGTGTAGACTGATAAAACAAAATTAGCTGTCAAAGTTCGTGTGGCAAAACCACTGTTGACCAGTGTATCTGCAATTTTGCTTGTTCACATAACTGTCTAAGTGAAAATGGGCCTCGTCAATGAAAACAACCTGCTCGAGTCTGCGCTGCGTATAAAAAGATTCCACATCCGTTCAGCACAAGATTTCCGTAATACGTAATGACTTTCCTTTAAAGCATGGACTCTTAAAGTAAGCCTCGATAGCAAAAGCACGTTGCGCTCCGGTCCAACGTTCCATCGTGACTATTTAACCCGCACGCCGGACGCGTCGATCAAGACCTCTCCCCACTTAATCGCGTATACGCTTGCCGCGTAATTCAAATTTGAAATGTGAACTTTCCCACTATATTGAATCAACAAAAGTATAGTATCTGTACCTGTAAAATGATGAGATAAGAAGCGGCAGTGTCCAGTTGCCCCTTAGCCATGCATTCCTGAAAGAGATCTTTGGGTTTGCCGGCAACCGAAAACAGGTACGGCCACAGTGCAATTTCAGTCTTTCGCGCGCATTGCACTACGGTTTGTAAATATACAGGAAACTCCATTATAAATTCTATAACACTAGGTAACTGGGCATCCGGAATAGGTTCCTTGCTGGTTGCTTCTTCCTCTAACACCTAAAATATGGTGATTGGTTCTGGGTTATTTCGGCTACTGTTAGCGTAAGATTATAAATGGTGATCAGTTTAAAAATTTTTCCCAAATTCAAATTTCGATATTTTGAGAACGGAAAGAGATATCGTGTTACGGTATTCGGGAGGATCTTGAGTTCGATCGGTGTACTGCAATTGCATGTTTGAGGTGTAGGTGGTTGAAACCGGAGAAACGTCCTAATTGCATGGAGAGGGTAATACAAAAAAATATGACATTTATTGCGGGAAGTTGAAAATTGAGAATTTAAGTTATAGGCACCTTTAGAAAAATTTGAGACATCACTTTTTCTTAAGGTAGTCCAAAGATAGAATACAACAATTTCCAAGATTAAAAATTGAGAATCTTACATAGCCCCAGATGTTGCTTAAAAAACCTGACTTCCTTTGCTCACCTTGTATAAATGGATAAATAGAAGAATACCGGTAGAGCCCTGTATACTTTATCTGAAGTCACTTGAAACACTGTGAAATACCGGGTGCGTTTTATATATCTATATTTAACACGCTCTGTTGCTGCAAAAATGGCCAAATTTCGCAGCAAATATCCCCCGTATAAGAGATCAAAGGCAGTTTCACCGTTCCACGTGGAGTAAAGCACGCCTATGCGTGGACATAGCCAATGAGAAAGCGTGTATTTCAGAGCTCGGAACAAGTGCAGGTGGCTACTGAAAATTGAAACAGTTTAGCCAGTGCCGTGTAGCGGTGAATAAACGTGTTTTCTTTAGTCTGTCCGTGTTTTTTCATAGATTTTATTAGTTTGTGTGTTTTTGACTTTTCAATACTCAGTTTACTTGTTGATTTAATTGTTGTGTTGATTGTTCTTGTGTGTCCTAAATATGGCTCTTTGGAGACCTTGGGAAAATGCTCCAAGCCACGAGGAGATGGTTGATGAACCTGTGCAGGCAGAATTCTTCCATAAAGATTTAGAGGAACAGACCCAAAGAGTAATCCTAAATATGTATGATTGTCTGAAAAACGAAAATCCAGATTCCTCGCAAAATCAAATTTTAAACAGAATTTGTATCCTGACAAAAATCAGTCGGTCTACCATTTATCGGGTTATAAAAAGGGGAGATGTAGTCAACCATTCTTTCCACAGAAAGCGCATAGGGCAAAAATTAAAAAGAATAGACGTGGGTTTTCAGGAAGATGCTTAGACTCACTGCACTGTATTGTAAAACTGTATGGTTTTCAATACAAAAAATTAGATAAAAGAATGGTGATTATGGAGTCGTCTCGAATCGTTGAATTGCGCCAAGAATTTTTGCACAAAGTTAAAATCTATAGAGAGCAGAAAAGAAATCTGATTTACCTGGATGAAACGTGGTATGATACCCATGATGTTGTGCAGTACGGCTGGGTTGACGACAGCAACAAGTGCATTTTAAATGCACCATGCAACCGTGGAAAACGAATCATTATTCTCCATGCTGGCAGTGAAAATGGATTTATACCTAATGCCTTGCTGTTATCTGCCAAAAATATCAAAGAATCATGTGCCGACTATCATGAGGACATGACCTCCGACTTATTTGAAAAGTGGATAGAGCAGCAGTTAATACCAAACATTTCCCCAAATTCAGTGATTATTATGGACAATGCGCCATACCATTCCCGACAGAAAAACAAAATTCCGAATACAGGCACAAAAAAACAAGACATTATTGATTTTATGAAGGATAAGGGAATGGAAATACCACAAAAATCAACCAAAGCCATATTATTGGATCTTATTAAAAGACAAAAATTTGAAAAAGAGTATGTTGTTGACAATCTGCTTCAGCAAAATGGCCATGAAGTATTACGTCTACCTCCCTATTACTGCATTTTTAACCTGATTGAGTCGGTCTGGGCTGCTTTAAAAAAAAAAGTAAGAAAACATAATCAGACCCCTCAATTAAGTGAATCGCTATTGGCCACAATAAGAGATGCAGTATCTCATATTGCTGCCACAGACCTATGGAAGCAGTGTTCTAGGCATATTATTGAAAAAGAAAATGAATATTGTGTTTTGCCTCCTGTAAATCCCGTTGTAATTCCTCTACAAGATGACTCTAGCGACAGCTCCGAAGGCGAGGATGATATATAAATACCTATAATGTAAGTCTTTATATACCTTTTTATATACCTACCTGCTATGTAAATATTTGCCTATGTCAAACGTTGGAATTCTGTAATTTTTCCATTTCTTAACTTTCAGTCAACATAAATTAAACTCCCAATATAAGTATTTTTTATCCCAAATCAAAAAAATGAGAAGATAGTAAAATCCATTAAATTTATTGTGATATAAAAACATTATTATTATCGTTCTAAATAAATGCCGCACGCCTATGATACGTCATGAAATTACAAAGGACGCGCCGACCAAAGGTTTTTATGCTATTTCAAGTGACTTCAGATACACCATACGTGTTCTCAAAGAGTTGGTCAAGAACCTTGATATCTCTTCCGTTCCGAAAATATCGCGATTTGAATTTGCGTAAAATTTTCCATATTGCAAAGCTGCTGTCCACCAGTTTCGTTGAATATTTCCAATGTTCTATTATTCTCAAAATTAATTTGAATTGACACACCACAAAAAACCTTTGTGTAGCTTACATTTTTTAAAGGAGCGTTTTCAGAAAAAAAGTTTTTTTAACACGCTTTTATTAGTTTGCCCTGTACATAATGGAATATTTCAACCTAAATTTCGACAGTTTCAAGAAGTCCGATTAACTAGAAAATATGTACAAATCTTGAAAAAAATACGAATATGAATTTTTGTAAAAAAAATTATTTGGAAAAAAATTGAGAAATTTTGAAAGATATACCAAAATTCGAAGAAGTACCTTTGTTGCCGTTTTGACACTGAAAATTCACAAATTAAATTATAAATAGAAAAACTAAGAAAATAAGGTTTAATAGCAAATCTAATTAAAAAGTAGAAAATAAAAAGATCAATATAACATTCAAAATATTAACAAAAAATGCATTTATAGTAAAAAAGCTGAAAGCGTGGTGTGCCATTTAACTACGAGCCCCTTCCCACTTCAGTTGGCCCAACTATTGAAATCTTAGTTTTTTCTTATCAAACACAAATAATAAAAATGTAGCAGGGTTTTATAGGTTTAAAATATTAACAATGAATATTTTGATAATATATAGTAGAAAACAGCAACTTTATCACTCACTAATCAAATTTGCAGCATAAAAATAACACATGTTGCAATAACAGCATATCAACCTATTTTCATTTCAATGCAAAATAAGTCTATAACGCATAGGTAGCTGTGAAAAATAAGAGCCATGACAATTGTTTTTATCAAGAATTTGTCAGAATACGTTTAAAATAGTTTTGGGTAGTTAAGGTTTTCAAAATGGGTAGCGGAAAGGTTATTAGTGAGAAAATTCGGTTACCGATAATTAAATTTTTTAATTCTGGAAAATCAAACTCAGAAATTGCAACTTTGTTACACTTGTCGCGGTACAGCGTGAGAAATATTGTTAGAAGATATAACGTACCTGGTTCAGTTAATATTAAGCCGCGATATGTGGAAAAAAGTGATATCACAAATGCCGACCGAAGAGCATTAAGAAGAATAATCGTGAAAAACAGGCGTGCCAATTATTTACAATTAAGTGCTCTGTGGAGTGACGCTGTTGGAAGGAGAATTTCGAGATCCACAACTCATAGTGAGGCCCACAAACTAGGATTTAGCACTTGCAAGGTAAGTTTTCTTATAACAAAAAGTAAAGACCCTAAAATTGCACAACTTGTTTATAGGCCAAAGAAAAGCCACTATTAACTCCACTGCAAAAGAAAAATCGGCTTAGATGGGCTAAAGAACATAGACAATGGACTACTCAACAATGGTGTGCAATACAATGGAGTAATGAGGCCCGATTCGAAGTTTGTGTTGGTGACAGTCGCAGTAGAGTTATTCGCAAAAAAAATGAAGCATTCCATGTTGACTGACTGAAGAGAAAAGTGAAATTTCCAGCATCCATTATGGTCTGGGCAGTATGCCATCAAAAGGAGTAGGAAAACTTCATTTTATTGATGGAAATGTGGATACAAACAAATATTTGGCAATTTTAGAATAATCGCTTTTACCAGTTATGGAAGAATGTTTGACATCCGCCAAGATTTTGTGTTTCAGCAAGATGGTGCAGCACGCCATACCTCAAAAATAAATATAAAATGGATGGAAGAAAATAATATACCACTTTTTAAATGGGTTTCTAGCAGTCCAGATCTGTCACCTATTGAAACTTTGTGGCACGAGATGAAAAAGGTTCTACGATAACATCCTGCTCGTACAATCACCGAACTGAGACAAAAGCTTCAAGAAATATGGGATTATTTTACACCAAATTTTTGCCAAAACTTGGTTAACACTATGCCCTAAAGAATTTCAGCCGTAATAAAAACTAAAGGTGATGCTACCCAATGGTAATCTTTCAATTGTTGCTTTGTTAACTTCGCGCATTTATTCGCACATTGTTTATTTGTTCAGATGTTCTACTAGTTATAGGTCTAACTGATTTCAAATATGTATTTTTTACGACTAGAGTGTATCTAAAATGTTTTGGAGAAAATAAATTGTTTATAATAAAGGCATATTTTGGTACAAATCTTGAAGTGCGCCAACTGAAGTGGGAAGAGGCTCGTATATGTGTATTTTCATAATAATTTTGTGAATACGAGGATTGTTTCAAAAATAAGGTTTCCAGGTATCCACATTTTTTCCGACACAAGGAATTCTTTAATCGAAAAAACAAATCCGCCATTGGAAACGTTGATTCTTGAGATATTTTTCTCCATAGTCGCAATTTTTTACTACGCATTTTTATTTTATCAACTTGGTATCTGTTTCTTGAAACTCCTCGTTCGTCTCGAACCGTTGACCGCCTAGGTGCTCCTTCAATTTCGGACACGCTACGCTTTTTTACTATAATTGATTGTTTTTGATATGTATGTCATTTTTAACACAAATTCTTATATATTTTGAGAATAAAGAAACTTTTCTCGGTGCATCCATACCTCGTGTAAAAGCAATTCCAAAGAATGAGGAAAATAAGGTAAACCCATACAACTACGAGCTATTTCCCAAGCGTGATATCCTAAGTTTCTCCTAATTAATTGTCTTAAAATCTGATGCAGGTACACTTGGCTCTGAAACAGTTATGTATAAAAATCGCATCGACTAGAAGCATAGGTGAACTCACAGTTCTTTGTAAAACACAAAATGGCAGCGAAAATGGTGAATTGGTATCCGAAGTATAGAGTACTGTATCATTTTCAGCACCTAATATTATTGCATCCTCAAAAAGTATTGCTGAAAAATACGATTATTATCGCAAAATAAAGGGTTGTCCAATAGGGACGCAGGAAAGTAAACGTCAATTTGACATAGACGCCATCTTTGTTTTCTCTCACCGACATGTCATTTTGTTAGTTGAATATTTACCATTGATCGCTATGGAGTCGTATTCGATTGAAGGCCGCATTAAAGTTATTCAAGAGCACTACAAAAATGGTGCAAAAATAAAAAACACGCTTCGCGCGCTTCGTGAACATTTCGGTCGCAACAACCGCCCAAACGAAACAACCATCGGTCGTCTGGTGCGTAAATTCGAGGCAACAGGTTCTGTGGCAAATCTGCCAGGCTCTGGCCGGCCAAAGAGCGTTCGCACACCGGAAAATATTGCTGTTGTGAAGGAGAGTGTGAGAGACGATCCGAAACAATCAACAACGCGTCGATCCCAAGAATTGGGCATTTCGAGAACCAGTTTGCTCCGCATTCTCCACAAGATCCAATTGACGCAAGAGCTGCGTCGGGCCGACCATTTTTCGCGCCGAACGTTCTCAGATTGGCTCCTTGAACACCGCCAAATTGATGCCAATTTTTCATCAAAAATCATGTTCAGCGACGAAGCGCATTTCACTTTGAATGGGACCGTAAACAAGCAAAACTGCCGCATCTGGGCGAACGAAAATCCCCGTGAGTATCAAGAGCAGCCGATGCATCCTCAAAAAGTGACTGTGTGGTGTGCATTGTGGTCAAAAGGCATCATCGGACCTTACTTTTTCGAAAATGCGGCAGCGGACGCCGTTACCGTCAATTCTGAGCGATATCTCGTGATGATAGAGCACTATTTTTTGCCGCAACTTGAAGGAATGGATATGGACGATGTTTATTTCCAACAAGACGGTGCAACATGCCACACAACCAACGTCAATATCCATCGATTGCAGTCCTTCTTCGGTGATCGCGTGATTTCGCGCAGAGAAAATGTGCCATGGCCACCAAGATCGTGCGATTTGACTCCCTTGGACTTCTTTTTATGGGGATATTTGAAAAGCAAAGTCTACGTCAACAAACCAGCCACCCTCCAAGAATTCAAAAACAACATCATTGCCGAGATAAATGCCATAGAACCGACCATGTTGCAAAATGTCATTGAAAATTTCGACCATCGCGTGGACGTCTGTAAATCCAGTCGTGGTGAACATTTGAGCGATATTATTTTTCATACATAAATGGTATAAATGAACCTTCAAAATAAAGTACCCAACTTGATTTGAATATCAATCTTTCTTGTTTTAATATGCGTTTACTTTCCTGCGTCCGTTTTGGACAACCCCATATAATAATATAACTACGTCTTTATATCCTGTATACAGATTAGCGCAACGAAAAGGTCGCACCGCTATTTAACATATGATTCTCCTGGTACATTCTTTCTAGTCACAAATGGAGTGCGACCTTTTCGTTGGACCACCCTGTATAAAAGCGAATCGCTCACCTAATGGGTATATCTTCAATTGGAAAGGCAACATAATCCGTTTGCTCATAAACGTATGCGATTTATCTCCATCCCTGGGGTATAATGGTAACCATACTCGCATCCCGTGAGCACCACAAAATAACCATAAGCTTTCGGTAAGGTGTGGCTGAAATAACAATGTTGTGTCAGCACCATATTATACAGGGTGTAAACGTTATGATAGTCATTATTTAAATGGGTGATAAAGAGTGAAGAAGTAACATAAAATCTGACAACGCCGCAATGCCAGGCGGAACGCAGTGTAAATAAAGATTGAGTTTGTTATTTTTGGCTCTTAGGTATTATTTCATTATTTTCACCTGGTGTGTGAAAGTTTATTGAACGTATTAAAGAAATCCACTTATAAATAGGGAACACAAAACACATACATTGTTTTTCTTAAAACCCACACTGCACTTTTTTGTATTTAAAGAAGGTGTTCAAAATGTCGTCCTCCACTTTCCACACAAGCTTCATTACGACAAACCTAGTTTCTTCAGTTGTCATTGGACCAGCCCCATAAACCATCCCTTTAAGTTCTCCCCAATACCAGAAATCCATCGGATTGAGGTCAGGAGATCTTGCTGGCCATTTTCGAGGATCAGCAGCATTTCAACCGATCCAGCGATTTGGATAATGTTCATTCAAATACTGACTGACGCCTCTAAAAATTTGTGGTGGTGCCCCGTCATGAAGAAACCACAAATTCTGTCTCCGTTGTAATGGCATGTTGTCTAAGGTCTGTTCCAAAAGTTCTGGTAGGTTATTGGCTAGAAAGCTAAGGTATCCTTCTCCTGAAAACTTTGGGGGCCAATTAACTGATCGTCAAGAATACACGCCCAAATATTTATTTTAAAACGTTGTTGGAAATGACCTTCACGAATGGTATGAGGATTTTCTTGGGCCCACGTGTGAGTATTATGGAAATTTAATAGCCCGTCTCGCGTAAAAATAAATTCGTCCGTCGCTAGAATGTTTTTAAAAAATCCGGATTTTCAATGTTTTTGTGCAAAAACCACTGACAGAATGTTAGTCTGCGAGGATAGTCTTCTGGTGACAAGGCCTGCACTCGTTGTACATGGTAGGGATAACGCAAATTTTCCCGTAGGATTCTATGGACTATGGTCCTATGCGGCGGCCTAATTCACAAGTGCTGATATCTGCATTGATTTCCACGATATTTAAAATTTGTTCCTCCTGCTCTACAGTAACCTGTCTTTCAGTGCGAATATTAGTGGGATGAACACTTCCTGTATCTTGAAGTCTTTCGTACACTTGCACAAATATCCTATAGTCAACGCCAAACAAAGTGGCGTGCACGTCATCAAGGTGGGTGTGTTGAAAAATTTACATTGTTGCCAAACTTTTTGTAAAATAATAAAATTTATTATTTACATATCTAGGTTTATAAGCAATATTAACCTCAAATGAGAACAAAAATAATAGTATAATAAAATTATAGATCTGTACTTGCATAATCATTAAGTATGACAATTATTGATCAGATGACACTATGAAACTACCATATTTAATTGATAGCTTAAAGGTACTGAATAAAAATCCAAATGGGGTCCTCCAAATTTTATGCATGGTATTTATTTTACAGAATTCATACAGAAAAATGCATTCTAAAATTAGGTAAACTACTGGTGTAAGCTCTTTCTGTACAATAAAGTTAGTCGGAGCTTCTTTCTTCAGCGCTGTCTGAATCTGAATCTTCATCACTCTCAAAGTTGATTATTAAAGGTTCGATGTCTGGTCGATCAAAAATTCGTTCTCTTTCATACCATTTAAAAATTTCTTGCTCAGTATGTCGAACACTATTTTTCCACATGTCTGGGGTAACCGTTTGTAGAGCCTCGTTCCACATATCCAAACAGTCTTTTTCACTGTTTTGCTATGCCCCAAATTAACTCAATAGGGTTAAATATACAATGGTAAGGAGGCAGACGAAGAACTTTGTGCCCATGTTGTTCCGCCAATTCATCAATCACGTATATTTTAGGTGGTTTGTTTCTAAAAAAGCAGTTATTTTAAGAATAGGAATAAACAAAAGAAATATAAACTGTCGACCAAAATATATATAATTAAGAAGCATTATGTACCGAGCAACAATACTTAATAGCTCTGTTTTAAACATTGTGTTTAAAAATGGTATGTTTTGATTTGTCAACCAGTCTTGGATATTTTTTTTGTCCATGCATTGTTGGGCACTTTGTTCAATATCATGCTGTGATAACGAGCGTTATCCAGTATAATCATAGATGGACTCTCCAATTTTTCTAATAACTGATGTTGAAACCATTTCAAAAAATTGTCCTGGTTCATCTCTCCATGGTAATCGCTCAATTTTGTTTTCGAAGAAAATATCGCTTCACTACCCTCAATAAACCCATTTTCATTTCCAGCAAGTAATATAATGTATCTAAAATATATTAGTTTTAAATTTTATAGTGCAAATTGTGTAAAAGTACATACCTTTTACCATCTGTTTTAATAGCTTTCATGCTTTTTTGGTTTCCATTTTGCCAAGAGCGACCTATGGTCCCATTTTGAAATATCCAAGTTTCATCGAGGAAGACAAACTGGTATAAGGCCTCAACCTTGGCTTGATTGTATTGCCTTAGAAATTCCACCCTTTTCAAAGCTATACTTGGTAGTTCCATGAGCCCTCGTCGCGGATTGTCCTTAAGCCACTTAAATCCAAGATCTCTAAGCAACCGCCTTAAAGACGTGGCACTACCATCAAATAATGCCCTATCTCTTAATCGAGACCATAAAGTTTGTATCGTAACTTGTTCTTCTGAAACCATGTGTAATATGACATTATAATTTAGTTAACAAATTAATGCAAATTTCTGATAAGTTATTATAATAAGATCTTACTTTTGTGATACATATTATAGATCACTTCTCGAATGGCACTTGTATCCAATGTCGCTGTGTTGGTTACACGTTTAATATAACTCCGCTTTTTCTTGGGCGATTCTAAATTTGCATCACTTTTCACACCCTCGGAAATACGACTAACTGTCCTTAAACTAATTTTTAAAGCAGCAGCAACACGCTACAAAAAATTAAATAAAATTTCACTATTATTAATATACATTACATATAATTATTAGTAACCTACCTCTTGAACAGCATTTAAAGGCAACAAAGGCCCGTTGTTGTCCCTTTCTTGCTCAAAGTAGTGCATTAACGAGGCCACGAGTTCCTTATACCGACTATTTAACTGTTTGGGCATCTTTATATACCAAAATTGCCTTTATCTACTCGTAAAATGAATAATTTTGTTTTGAAACAAACAGTTGTTGATTTACAGTATGCGGGGCCAAAGGATTTATAAAGATTTGAAATGCCACAAATTGATTCAGTGTCAAAATTAATACAAATGTCAGTTCCCAGTTTAAATAAGTTTCAAGGTGACAATGTGTCAACGCTGCGAAATCGGTTTAGTGCGTTTACATGTCGATAAGTGATTGGAGCGTTTGCAAAACATTTTATTTCGCATAATGCGTCTAAATTTATCAGAAAGCAACTTATGTGATATTTTAATAACAATGTTTATATGACTATTAACCATAATAAGAGAGTAATGACCATTTTACAATTTATATATCGCATTAATATGAAACTGCAATAGAGCAATTGTTTGTGATAGAAACCTAGGCATTAGGTCGGGGAATTTTTATCGTGATGACGTGCACGCCACTTTGTTTGGCGTTGACTATATCTGGGTGTACCCGTTGGCGAAATCTGTATATAAATAAAAAACACGACGACGTACGCGAACAAAAACAAAACAACGAACTAACCACTGTTACCGTTTGCGATCGATTGCCGGTTCGATAGGAGTGATGAAAAACCGACGCGCTGTAGTCACGTGTGTTTTAAATATTTAATTTAATGAAATTTACTTACTGACTACAAATTTTGGCTTAACTTAAAAAAACTTAATGAAATTTATTTGTTAATTACCCAATTTAAAAACGTTTTAGATCAGATTATAAAAATTAGTAAGATTGTGGCCGATATAAAGCACTTAAAGTTGTAAACTATGAAGTCAATTAGACAAAAATCTATTGACTTTTGGTCTATGGGAACATATGACTTGTTTTGACCTCCCCTATTACCCATTTCAATAATGACTACCGTAACGTTTAAACCCTGTATAAATAAATAGGGTTAATTCTAGCAGTAAGTTTTTGACAATTCGGAAGTGTTTTCTTTTTTCAAATTGGATCAGTTTGGCTCTGGAAAACCATTGCATAATTGTGTTTGCGAGCTTTTCCTAATTTAACCTAAGCTTCAACCCCAATGAATAATACAGTACCTTATCGGCCCTCCTTTTCCCGGGCACCCATACGTTTTCCACGCATCCGGCCAACACGACCGGCATCAAGCATCTGCCATCTCCTCCTTCTCTCACCTCCCTTTTGACCAGTACCAATCTTCCGGCTGCGTTCAGCACCATGCCGTCGCACGCTTGGCCTCGATGCTGACCTCTCTGCTGTTGCGTCACCGACGTCAGAGTGACGGAAGTGACGCACGCTGGGTGAACGGCCAGCGCGGACACGTCCACCGATTGCAGTTTGGTCACTGTTACGTCTCCAGCTGGAGAATAAAATAATAATAATAACCGTTTATTGCCCCAACAGTTGAACACCATTTATATACGGGGTGTTTCACTTCATTGTTGCATAACTTTAATATTCGATACAACTTTTAAAATTAATACATAAAGTCTATATAAACATGGGTCGAAAAATGCGTGGTTTCCGAAATACAGGGTGTTTAAATTTACTTTCTAAAATAGTTTTTTTTAAGTATTTCGAACAATCTTTGATGTATAACAGTCAAAATTGGTATACAAGGGTTTTTTGGTACGACAAAACGAAACATGGGCATAGTTTTACTGTAGCCGCTAGAGGGCGCTCTCTACTGTACCTGTAGTGTATTAAAATGACCGAAAAAATTTTCTTAGTGCAATCTTTTGCTTTTTGAATGAAAAAACTGATTCTTCGCACCTTTCTGCTTAAAAAAGCTCTCCTGTGAGTTTTCGTTATAGTTAGCCGTTTTTGAGATATTTCGATTTTTAAGGTTCGATGCATTTTTAATTATTTATGATAAAATAACGTTAAAAAGTCAGTATCTCGATAATTTTTAGAAGTAGGCTGTGCCTGCAAATATTTTTGAAATTGAAAGCAGAATAAGGTTAAACGTCAATTAGTAGTAAGTAAGTTTTATAAAAATGCCATTTTTATTCTCCAATCAAGAGTTAGCGGATATTTATTTTGTGTATCGCTTTGTAAATGGAAACGCAGCAGAAGCAGCCGGAGAATACGCACGAAGAATTATTTATGGGAAAATAATATTTTTTTTACATTTTCGATTTGGGCATTACAAGTAATTAAGATGATCGTTTAGATTGTGTTTTTAAACACAGCAATAATTCCTAACTCCAAATAAACACAAAAAAAGAGAATATTAATTTGTTTAATTTTCCAATATTATTTTTAACAAATTAAATTAATTATTTACAACTAAAATGCTATTGGATAGTTAGGACAAACATACAAAATCTAAAGTAGTTGCTCGAAATGTAAACCCAATTGTTCAATACACAATTCACATCTACGAATGATCGAACGTGGTATAGCATTATTCAAATAAGGCCTTATTTCATCACATGCATTCCTGATTCTGTCTATTAGCATATCTCGTGTGGTTACGGGAGTCTGGTACACTTTTTCTTTTAGAAATCCCCACACAAAGAAATCTAATGGATTTAGGTCAGGGGATCGTGGAGGCCAGGCGACTGGTCCTCCACGGCCGATCCATCTTTCTGGATAATTTTCGTCCAGCCAGTTTCTAACTATTCTCGAATAATGAGCTGGACAACCATCAAGCTGGAACCAGGCCAATCTTCTTAAATCTAACATAACATCATCCCACATATTTGCATGTTCAGCCTTTAAAAATCCAAGAAGGTCGCAGCATTTAACCTTGCAGGCAAAAGGTAGGGTCCCAATAGTAGATTACGGTAGATACAAATCCACACTAAATTCATGCTGAAAATTTCTTTCCCGAACTGCATGCGGATTTTCATGCGACCAAATATGTTGATTATGAAAATTTACCACTCCACGTCTAGTGAAGCATGACTCATCGGTCCATAAAACGTTACTTAAAAACCCCCTATTATTATCAGTTCTATCAAGAATCCACTGACAAAATGTGATTCTTCGTTCTTCGTCCCTGGCTGTAGTCCTTGCACAGGTTGCAAATGGTAAGGACGTCTATGGTCATTTCTAAGAACACGGTGAACATGGCTTGCTGAAATTCCCAAGGCACCAGAAACTCTCCTAACACTTGTGGTCGGATATCTATCAAACTCACGCAGAATCATAGGGGTAAATCTGCGATAACGAACATTTATGTTTTGATCCCTTTGGAGATTTCCAAAACCATTTTCAATTATTTGGCGATGCACTCTTACAAATACTGAGCGAGTTGGATGTCGTCTATTTGGAAATCTTCGTGCGTATTCTCTGGCTGGTTCTGCTGCGTTTCCATTTACAAAGCCATACGCAAAATGAATATCCGCTAACTCTTGATTGGAGAATAAAAATGGCATTTTTATAAAACTTACAACAAAATAACAGGTAAAAGAAACTAAATTTCGTGCATTCACAATTGCAAAAAAACGTTTCAGGTTTCAACAGACAACAAAACTAACTGTCAACTAATTGACGTTTAACCTGCTTTCAATTTCAAAAATATTTGCAGGCACAGCCTACTTCTAAAAATTACACTGGTCAACACTGGTTTTGCCACACGAACTTTGACAGCTAATTTTGTTTTATCAGTCTACCCTCATTATTACATGACAGCTGTCATATGTCTATTAGCCTCATATTTGTTGTGATACGGTAATACTCATAACTAGTACTACGGCAGTAAATTAACAGAAACGCTTACAAGTAACTCCTTATAAAAATATTTGTTGTTGAATTTGAACACTTTTTTGTGATTTATTAACCCTGTGAATATGTCGAGGAACTGTAATAATGATCCTAACTCTTTTTGTTATGTCTGCGGAGAACTAACATTTAAAAAACAACGACGAAATTTTACGAATCTTGTGTTGGGGTGTTATCACCAATGTTTTGGTTTTTCTGTCGCCCATCAAGACAAATCCTGGGCCCCTCATGTCTGTTGCATAACGTGTGTGAAAAATTTAACTGACTGGAAGAAAGGTCCACGACCTATGCCGTTTGCTGTACCCATGATATGGACTGAACAGCGAGATCACGTTTCAGATTGCTATTTTTATCTCACAGACATAAAAGGTATAAATTACAAGAAAAAAACCACAGTTATTTACCCTAACTTATCTTCGGCTATAAGACCAGTCTCTCATTGTAAAAAATTGCCAGAACTAATACCAGTTCCAACTACGTCTGTTGAGAACAATTCACAACCGTCCACTTCAGGTGAATGTGTTGACGAGGACGATGACTTTGAGTTAAAAGGAATTGTAAACGAGCCACATTTGATAACTCAAGGAGACCTAAATGATTTGGTTCGGGATTTAAATTTGTCAAAAAAGCAGTCAGAATTATTAGGATCACGTCTAAAAGAATGGAATTTGCTACATCATAATACAAAAGTTAGCTATTTTCAAAACCGTGATCAACACTTCAGAACGTATTTTTCTCAGGATGGAGATTTGGTGTTTTGCAATAACATAAATGAGATTATGAAAATGTTGGATATAGATTTTGATCTCTCTCAGTGGCGTTTATTCATTGATTCTTCGAAAGCAAGACTAAAAGGAAATAAGCTTCCGTCTGTACCTCTGGCCCATGCTGCAAATATGAAAGAAACCTATGAAAATATGAAACTTTTACTTGAAAAAATAAATTACAGTACATATTCCTTCAAAATCTGCGGTGATCTTAAAGTTGTTGCACTATTACTTGGACTTCAGCTGGGTTATACAAAGTTTTGCTACTTTTTATGTGAATGGGATAGCCGAGACAGAACTAATCACTATATAAAAAAAACATGGCCTACGCGTGCATCGTTAGTTCCTGGGCAAAAAAACGTAAAGTATTTACCCCTTGTACAGCCAAATAATGTGCTTCTACCACCATTGCATATCAAATTAGGATTAATAAAAAATTTTGTGAAGGCAATGGATCGCAATGGGAGTGGATTTTTGTATCTAAAAGAAAAATTCCCTAAAATAAGTGATGCAAAGATAAAAGAGGGTATTTTTGTTGGCCCTCAAATTAGGGAGTTAATAAAAGATTCAAGATTTGAAGAAAAATTAAGCGATTTAGAAACATCTGCATGGAAGGCTTTTAAAAATGTTGTTTCAAATTTTTTGGGTAACCACAAGAGTGACAGCTACAGAGAGTTGGTTAGCGAGCTATTATTGTCATATCAAGCATTGGGTTGCAACATGTCATTTAAGATCCATTTTTTAGACTCGCACCTGGATTTTTTTCCTGACAATTTAGGGGCTGTCAGCGACGAGCACGGTGAGAGGTTCCATCAGGACATTTCTAATATGGAAAAGCGGCACCAGGGCAAATGGAGCCCAAATATGTTAGCAGATTACTGCTGGACAATTAAAAGCGACCAACCAGAAGCTAAATATTCAAGAAAATCTTAGATTATTAAGTCATTTATAAAAAAAAATAACTTTTGATTTACGAGATCTGTGTTTTTTCTTAATATTTTAAATTACTCAATAGAATAAAATCCTTGTCTAGCAAATTTTTTTCAACTATTTATTTTTTCTTACAATCACCAATTAAAGTAAAAAATATCAAAAAAGTCCATGTGGCACGACAAAGTTAAAATTTTGTTGACCAGTGTTATCGAGATACTGACTTTTTAACGTTATTTTATCATAAATAATTAAAAATGCATCGAACCTTAAAAATCGAAATATCTCAAAAACGGCTAACTATAACGAAAATTCACAAGAGAGCTTTTTTATGTTGAAAAGTGCGAAGAATCAGTTTTTTTATTCAAAAAGCAAAAAATTGCACTAAGAAAATTTTTTCGGTCATTTTAATACACTACAGGTACAGTAGAGAGCGCCCTCTAAAAACCCTTGTATACCAATTTTGACTGTTATACATCAAATATTGTTCGAAATATTTAAAAAAAACTATTTTAGAAAGTAATTTTAAACACCCTGTATTTCGGAAGCCACGCATTTTTCGACCCATGTTTATATAGACTTTATGCATTAATTTTAAAAGTTCTATCGAATCTTAAAGTTATGCAACAATAAACTGAAACACCCTGTGTATTTTGAAAATAAACTACAAATTCCGTAAATCAAGAGAAAAAAATATAGCTATAACTAAACAGTAAAAAAGGTATGAAAAATCACAAATGAGCTCGCAGTTTGCACTTCAGTACACCTAAGCTACAAAAAATATGTCGCATACGTCGGCTATTTTATTAGCATTCAGAAACTGTATTTGATGAAGTATTGAAGCAGATTCTATCAGACGATGCAGCAATTTGTATAAAATTAAAACTGCCGATTGTTTGCGGCACTGTTCTAAAGACTGAAAGCCAAATTTATAGAGGAAAATATTCTGTACCTCTAGTAGGACACATGACATATCCTAAACATAAAAATTTTTAAAATTTCTTTTGAAATTTCTCGACAGCATCAATATGTAGCGTGTAAATCGGACTCCATATTCCTGACCAAGCTGAAGTATTAATTCTGTAATGTCGAAGTGTTAAAATGTTTAGAATTCGTGATAACAAAGCCAGAGGTTCGATAAACGTTTGTAATAATAATAATATCCATTGAAGATCAGTTGTTGATCAAAGTAGATGCCTAAATCTTTTACAGTCTCGATACACTCAAGAACACATAAAATGGGAAATAAATTTCAAAAACAATCAGAAACCTCACAAAAACAAAATTGAGTTGTGGTTTTGAAACATCGTATTAACTAGAGAGGAATTCTAAGCGTCACGGACTGACAATCAGACTACGTTTTTCGAGATTTTCTGACATACTGTTTAAAAAGCATTACAGTTTTTTTGTTTGTTGAAGATTTATTTAGCATTAATGCTACAATGTCACGTTTGTATAATTATTCGTTTACACATTTTTCTGAATCCATTTTATGTAATTTTACATTGTCTATTAAAATTACATTTATATTTTGAGTATTCATAAAGTGATTTTTTTAATTTTACCTTAAGCATTTTTAAATTCGAACACTGTTTAATATCGTTTAAAAAATTTATTAAATTTAAATACTCCCTTTTGAAATACAGATTTGCTAGTTATGCTACTACATATTACAATTTTGCAGATGAAAATCTATACTGCCTCTAGTTTCGTAGTTATGATAATGACTATTTAACTTCTTTGTGATGGTTTCTAAATGTGGTGGTAATAAATTATTTGTTAATTTGAATTTGAAAATGAGAACTAAATAACGTATGAAATTTTTTACATTCAACCTCTGTAGTTCTTCTAACGTAGACTTAATCGCAGTATCTTTGTTTTTATTTAATATGTTTCTTATAGCTATATTTGTAATTCTGAAATTATGTTTTCATTTACTGTAACAATAACACTGATCAACAGCCAAAAAATATCCTAAATAAAATCAACAAAATATTACTATCTTTAATGTGCTAAAACCGGAATGAAACTTATTTTTTCAATATTAGTTCAAGTTTTAGAGATACGGTAATTATATGTGTTCCTGCTGTGACAGTGTTAATATACTGTAATTCACAAGAATGCACGTGCTACATTTTTATATTCGGCAAGGAAAGATGATGTAATCGGCATGATTGTGTTACGTTATACATACGCGTACATTATATTGTTTTATATTAGCCATTTTTTCCTCAGTTGGCTGACAGCGTTCATGCAAGATGTCTCGAAAGTGTGTAAACAATCCAGATCAGTTTTGTTACGTGTGTGGTGATGTGACTTTCGCGTCTCAGAGACGGTCTATTATTCCACTAATAACAAAGGCATATCAGCTTTATTTCGGTTGTAAACTAGGTGATCATGACCTACAGTGGGCACCCCACATCTGCTGTAATACATGTGCTTCAAGTCTGAGGAGCTGGTTAAATGGCAAAAAACGGTCTATGCGCTTTGCTGTTCCAATGGTTTGGAGAGAGCCTACAAATTATATTAATGATTGTTACTTTTGCATGGTACCTTGTGTTGGACAAGCCACAGGTATGTCCAAGAAAAAAAAATCGGTTATTAACTACCCAAACATACCATCTGCGATGAGACCTGTGCCTCACAGTGACGAAAATCCTATTCCAAAACCCCCAGAATCCTACACTTGCGAATCAGAAAACGAATCAGATCATGGCGATCGAGTGATTCGTCAGGAAGAAGATATGCCATCAACGTCAAGAGATCCTGATTTTATACCGAGCACGTCATGCCACCAGCCGCACAAAATAACACAGTCAGTATTAAATGATCTTGTAAGAGATTTAGAACTTCCAAAATGTAAGGCAGAGTTACTTGGATCAAGACTGCAGCAGTGGAACTTGTTAGAAGACGATGTTTCGGTATGTGTTTTTCGTAAACGCCACAAAGACTTAGAACCATTTATCAATATGGAGAATAACTTGGTTTTCTGCAGTAACATTAACGGCTTACTGGCGGCTTTAAATATAAACTATAACCCAGAAGAATGGAGATTGTTTATAGACAGTTCAACATTGAGTTTAAAGGCAGTGTTATTGCATATTGGAAATATTTTACCATCTCTTCCTGTAGGGTATGCAGTTCACATGAAAGAATCATATGACAATATGAAGTACCTATTGACATGCATAAAATACGATGAGCACCAAAGGCATATTTGTGGCGATTTGAAAGTTGTTGCACTTTTACTTGGGCTGCAGCTAGGCTACACAAAGTTTTGCTGTTTTTTGTGTGAATGGGACAGTCGGGCAAAGGCACTTCATCATTACACCAGACAAAACTGGCCTGTTCGTCAATTCCTAGAGCCAGGTCAAAAAAATGTACAGCATATGCCATTAGTAGATTCGAAAAAAATTTTATTACCACCACTGCATATCAAGTTGGGCCTAATGAAACACTTTGTCAAGGCATTAGATAGACATTGGTCAGCTTTTCAATACCTGCGTCAGAAATTTCCAAGACTAAGTGAGGCAAAGGTTAAAGAAGGTATTTTTGTTGGGCCACAGATTCGAAATATTTTGAAAGATACACAGTTTGAAAACACTTTAACAGGTATTGAAAAAACTGCTTGGAATGATTTCCGTCTGGTGGTCACTAATTTCTTGGGAAATAAAAAAGCTGACAACTATAAAACAATTGTCAAAAATATGCTGTCATCGTATCAAAAGATGGGCTGTAATATGTCTCTTGAGATACATTTCCTACACTCACACCTGGACTTTTTTCCTGACAATTGCGGAGCCGTAAGTGATGAGCACGGCGAACGTTTTCATCAGGATATTTCAACAATGGAAAAAAGGTACCAGGGAAAGTGGAATCCTTCCATGCTTGCAGACTACTGTTGGACTCTTGGTAGAGATGCTCCAGAAACGATCCATAAAAGAACAGCAAAAAGACAGCGCATATAGTGATTCTTATAAGTATATGAATCTTGTTACTTTTTTTAATATATCCTTAAAAATAAAAAGTTTTTTTTCTAAACCGCAACTAATTTTTTTATTTCATTGTCATTTTTGGATTCAGCGCCCCAAAATTAACAAAGAAGTGCACTTTTCCCACAAGATACAATTAAAAAACTAAAATTTGTTGTCCAGTGTAATCGTCCGCATATTTTGATACTGTTCAGAATGTTGAACTTTTTGCGCAGGAGGAATGATGGAATACTTTAATTTTAATGGGAATTTACCATGTAATGACCAATGATTCACCAATAATAATAATAATTTCTCTCCAATTATATTGAAACAATCATTTAGAATCCTTTCTGAGAGATTCTCACTTGGAATTTTATTAGATTTCACTTTTGAGATAGCTTTTCTTAGATTGTTGATGTTTACTGGCCTAAATTGATTCATTGATGAATTATGATATACTTGAAATATTGGAAAACATACCCATATCGTTCTGTTGTAGCGACCAAACGCACACTTGAGCATCTGAGCTGAAAGTTATCAGCTGGTCTTGAAGTATATTTATGAGTAGCACCGGTGCGGACACGGATACTATTTTTGCAAATTTGTTATCTAACTTTGCATCCCTTGGGTAAAACCTGTAACAAAAGTACGAGGGATGACTTTTTAGTAGGCCGCGAGGATCGAGCGTCAGTACTGAATCTTAACCTCACTCTTTAGTACACTTAAATTCAAAGTTTCACAACAATGCGTGCAGTGTTCTCACTACAGTGAATTTTTAAGTATCACACCAAGTCATTAGAAAAATGGGAGTCAACCGAGACCATTTTCGCGCCATAATTTATTACAACTTTCACAGACAATTATCGCAACAAGAATGCCTTGCTGAGTTCCTGTCGGTTTTCGGCAACGAAGCGCCACATCAGTCGACAATTTCCCGTTGGTATGGAGAATTCAAACGTGGATGGGTGAGTCTTAGCAACGATCCCAGGGTGGGTGCCCCAAAAACGACAGACACTCAGGAAAACGTCGATGCTGTGCGTAAACTTATCGTTGAAGATAGACATGTGACATATCGCAAGATTGAGGCGTCCTTGAAGATCTCAAAGGCCTCAATTAAAAAAAATTCACAAAGAATTAGGAGTAAGAAAATTAGTTTCTCGTTGGATATCCCACCTGTTGACTGAAGCCAGCCAGGGTTAATTGGTGTCAAAAAACGCTTGACCGAAAATTATACTAAGTGACATATAAATCCGAACACCCAGTTTAAATGGTTTTATAGTACTTAATGAAGCATAATAAGTAAATGATAAAAATTTCAAAATGATTGCACTGCTTTAAAGCCCTTTAACCTTTAATAATGTGTGGATGCACCCTGATGTGCTACGCATTCTCCAACGCGCCTAAGCATGCTTCTGATCAGGTGGTCAATGTCCTCATGTGGTATCTCATTCCAGGCAACCACCAACTCCTCTCGAAGTGCTTCTAGAGTCTGAGGAGGACGTTGCAAATTAAGCAATCTCCTACCCATCATATCCCACACGTGCTCAATTGGGGATAAGTCGGGAGATCTTGGTGGCCATGGTAACAATGTGACATCATTATGTTGAAAGAAGTCTATTGTGACTCTTGCAACATGTGGTCGGGCAATATCTTGTTGGAAAGTTGGATCTGCCAGGGTGTCAAGATAGGGTAAAATATGGGGTTCTAGAACTTCGTGGATATAACGCTGCGCGCTCATGTTACCTCTGATGAAGATTAAAGGTGACCTGGAACCAGAAGCTATACACCCCAAACCATAACTCCAACAGTGAGATGAACATGTCTTTCAACAAAAAACTGTGGATTCCTCCTTTCACCACGTCGCCTTCTAACCCTGGCACGACCATCGTGCATGCCTAAACAAAATCGAGACTCGTCACTAAAGACAATACTGTTCCATTCCTGATCCCAGAGTGACCGTTGTCTGCACCACTCAAGGCGATTACGTCGGTGTAAGGGTTAGAAGGCGACGTGGTGAAAGGAGGAATCCACAGTTTTTTGTTGAAAGACATGTTCATCACACTGTTGGAGTTATGGTTTGGGATCCTATAGCTTATGGTTCCAGGTCACCTTTAATCTTCATCAGAGGTAACATGAACGCGCAGCATTATATCCATGAAGTTCTAGAACCCCTCTTTTACCCTATCTTGACACCCTGGCAGATCCAACTTTCCAACAAGATAATGCCCGACCACATGTTGCAAGAGTCACAATAGACTTCTTTCAACATAATGATGTCACATTGTTACCATGGCCACCAAGATCTCCCGACTTATCCCCAATTGAGCACGTGTGGGATATGATGGGTAGGAGATTGCTCAATTTGCAACGTCCTCCTCAGACTCTAGAAGCACTTCGAGAGGAGTTGGTGGTTGCCTGGAATGAGATACCACAGGAGGACATTGACCACCTGATCAGAAGCATGCCTAGGCGCGTTGGAGAATGCGTAGCATATCAGGGTGCATCCACACATTATTAAAGGTCAAAGGGCTTTAAAGCAGTGCAATCATTTTGAGATTTTTATCATTTACTTATTATGCTTCATTAAGTACTTATACAAAATTTTATTAAAATAAAACCATTTAAACTGGCTATTCGGATTTATATGTGACAGGGCGTTTTCAAAGTTGAGTCATTCATTTTAACTGCTTGTAGGACTCGTCAACAGGAGTTGATATACCAAAAATCACCTGTGTACAAGTTGTGTAATAAAAGAAATAGTATGAGATTAAACATTTTAAAAAACGATGTATCATAGATATCTCCGAGTTGTTTTAGACTGCCATCTTCGTTGGTATGAACAAATCTAATACATTAAAAAGAAACTTAGATTTCTGGTATATAAATCCAGATGTTAGAGACAAATATCCAATGAAACACATAACCTGTTATCTGGGGATCCACGAATAATCGCCATCTAAATTCTTTACAAATAATAAAAAAACTATTCATAAAAACAATTAATAACAAACCTTTACTATATCCTTACAAATTGATGTTTATAGAATCAAAACTTTTATATATAAAAAAATTATTTTGGTATAATATACAGGGTGGCCCATCCATGTGTGGACGGAATATTACTCATAAACAAATACATTTTGAGAAAATCTATTAATGGCACGTTATATACGACATGTGAGGGCCCATTTCTAAAATACTGGCAATTATACAGGGTGTCCCAATTTTGACATATACAGGGTTATCCAAATTAAGTGTCACCATTGGTAACTTTGTTATTAGTAAAAATACAAAGTTGTTTAAATTAGCAAACTAGTAGCATTTTTAACGCTGGCAAAAATGAGAAATAAAAAAAAACAATTGAGAGTCGTTATTTTGATTTTTTTCAGTAAAATAACATTTTTTTAAATGGAAACCCCTGTATATTATATTTTTTTCTGTTAAAGCATCAAATTTTAAACAAAAAAGTTCATAATGACTTTTCCGCTAAAGTCAAAAATAAAGTCAAAATAACGATAAATATTTTTAATTATTTGCAGTATTATAATATTAAGACGGCTATGAAAACAACATGGCGTTCGCGATTTGACAGCATTAAGATAAGCGACAAATTGTTAAACTGGACATACTCGCAACTAGAAGGCTTTGGAAAACAATGATAAAATCAAATAATGTCAAACATTAGTGTAAATACTTGTTTATAAGCTTTATTGTGTCATTAATTTAAAGAAAAATGTTCTCCCATGAAGAAAAGTGTGATATGTTAGAATGCTATTTAGTGTGCAGAAAATCCTCCTTGAGAGCAAGAGAATACTACAGTGAATTATATCCCGCTCGCATTCAACCGTATGAACGATATTTTCTGAGACTTTATCGAAAATTTAGGGGCAACGAAAATGTTTTTGCTAAAACAAGGGCAAAAAAAGAATTCATAATAAGCGAGGCCACGGAAATTGCAGTTATTGGATATTTTGAAGCTTATCGTGAGAATTCAATAGCAGATATTCTCAAGGACTCTAATTTCAGTTATGGTACTGTTCGAAGGATTTTAAAAATATACAAATTTATTCCGTATAAGTACCGACCAGTTCAAACGCTTTTGGCAGGGGATCCAGAGAGAAGACTTGTTTTTTGCCATTGGTATCTTAGCTTCTGTCGCCAAAATGTAAATAACTTTCGTTACCTTTTATGGACAGATGAATCAAATTTTTCAAATTCTGGAATGTTTAATAGAAAAAACCACCATTATCGGTCAAGAGAAAATCTTTTGTTAGTACATCCAAGAGGCCCACAAGTCCGTTTCAGTTTCAACGTTTGGTGCGGTATAATTGGTTCAAAAATTGTTGGCCCGTTCTTTTATGAGGGAACCCTAACTGGTGAAAGATATGTGGAATTTATGTCAGAAATTCTGACTAATTTCTTAGACGAATTGGATCTTATAAGTAGACATCATCTGCATTTTCAGCAAGATGGCGCACCTGCCCACAACTCCAGAGGTACTTATCATTTTCTAAGTACTACTTTTAATGATCAGTGGATAGGAACAAATGGCCCAATACAGTGGCCTCCCAGATCACCAGATCTAAACCCACTTGATTACTTCTTGTGGGGTTACTTAAAGAACCAAATTTACAAGCGAAGGTACGATAACCTTGACGCGTTAAAGACTGCAGTTAGGGAAAAGATAACCCAGATAGATGGTAGGACCATACTTAAGACAGTTCGAGCAGTTGAAAAACGTGCCCAAAAATGTATTGAAGAACAAGGTGGTGTTTTCGAGCATCTTCTTTAAAAAAATTGTTATTGTATTTTGTAAGATTATAAGTTGATGTTGAAAATAAAGTTTGTCGATACAATTTAATTGTTTCAGATTGGAGGCCATAACTTCAACAATTTGTAACCTAGGAGAAAAGTTATTGTAAGCTTTTTTGTTTAAAATTTGATGCTTTAACAGAAAAAAATATAATATACAGGGGTTTCCATTTAAAAAAATGTTATTTTACTGAAAAAAATCAAAATAACGACTCTCAATTGTTTTTTTTTATTTCTCATTTTTACCAGCGTTAAAAATGCTACTAGTTTGCTAATTCAAACAACTTTGTATTTTCACTAATAACAAAGTTACTAATGGTGGACACTTAATTTGGATAACCCTGTATATCAAAGTTGTGATTTCTTAAATGGAATACCTCAATTTTTTTTGCATTTTTGGATAAACCAATTCAAAAGAATAAAATTGATATAACATACTATGGGGTTTTGGTAATTAGCTACTGAGATGTCCAGAAAAACCGTTCACTTCGGCAACCCGTCAATCCGCCAGTTTGAAATTTGGAGTGCTGAATTTTGTATCAAAAAAAACTTACACGCCTCAGCTTTTATCTTATTTGTTACTTTTTCGAATTTTCATTTTTGCTCATACAGGGTGGATGAAAACGAACAATACCTTAGTTCATCTCCATTTTCTAGTATACTGTAACACCCCATAATTACATAATCTCTCCACCACAACAGCCCCCCAGCGACTATGAAATCTTTTTCCTGAGTTTCGTTTCCAAACAGCTTCCAACGTCTTGATAGCATAGAATAGTGAGCCAAGCCAGTCCTCCCTGGAATATAACATTTTCGACTACACCAATTATCTTAACAATACCTATTAATATACAGGGTGTTTCAGTTTATTGTTGCATAACTTTAAGATTCGATAGAACTTTTAAAATTAACGCATAAAGTCTATATAAACGTGGGTCGAAAAATGCGTGGCTTCCGAAATACAGGGTGTTTAAATTTACTTTTTGAAATAGTTTTTTTTAAATATTTCGAACAATATTTGATGTATAACAGTGAAAATTGGTATACAAGGGTTTTTTGGTACGACAAAACGGACCATGGGCATAGTTTTACTATAGCCGCTAGAGGGCGCTCTCTACTGTACCTGTAGTGTATTAAAATGACCGAAAAAAAATTCTTAGTGCAATTTTTTGCTTTTTGAATAAAAAAAACTGATTCTTCGCACTTTTCAACATAAAAAGCTCTCTTGGGAATTTTCGTTATAGTTAACCGTTTTTGAGATATTTCGATTTTTAAGGTTCGATGCATTTTTAATTATTTATGACAAAATAACGTTAAAAAGTCAGTATCTCGATAATTTTTAGAAGTAGGCTGTGCCTGCAAATATTTTTGAAATTGAAAGCAGAATAAGGTTAAACCTCAATTAGTTGACAGTTAGTTTTGTTGTCTGTTGAAACCTGAAACGTTTTTTTGCAATTGTGAATGCACGAAATTTAGTTTCTTTTACCTGTTTTTTTGTAAGTTTTATAAAAATGCCACTTTTATTCTCCAATCAAGAGTTAGCGGATATTCATTTTGTGTATGGCTTTGTAAATGGAAACGCAGCAGAAGCAGCCAGAGAATACGCACGAAGATTTCCAAACAGACGACATCCAACTCGCTCAGTATTTGTAAGAGTGCATCGCCAAATAATTGAAAATGGTTTTGGAAATCTCCAAAGGGATCAAAACATAAATGTTCGTCAGCGCAGATTTACCCGTATGATTCTGCGTGAGTTTGATAGAGATCCGACCACAAGTGTTAGGAGAGTTTCTGGTGCCTTGGGAATTTCAGCAAGCCATGTTCACCGTGTTCTTAGAAATGACCATTTGCAACCTGTGCAAGGACTACAGCCAGGGGACGGAGAACGAAGAATCACATTTTGTCAGTGGATTCTTGATAGAACTGATAATAATAGGGAGTTTTTAAGTAACGTTTTATGGACCGATGAGTCAGGCTTCACTAAACGTGGAGTGGTAATTTTTCATAATCAACATATTTGGTCACATGAAAATCCGCATGCAGTTCGGGAAAGAAATTTTCAGCATGAATTTAGTGTAAACGTGTGGATTGGTATCTACCGTAATCGACCCTATCTTTTGCCTGCAAGGTTAAATGCTGCGACCTTCCTGGAATTTTTAAAGGCTGAACATGCAAATATGTGGGATGATGTTATGTTAGATTTAAGAAGATTGGCCTGGTTCCAGCTTGATGGTTGTCCAGCTCATTATTCGAGAATAGTTAGAAACTGGCTGGACGAAAATTATCCAGAAAGATGGATCGTCCGTGGACGACCAGTCGCCTGGCCTCCACGATCCCCTGACCTAAATCCATTAGATATCTTTGTGTGGGGATTTCTAAAAGAAAAAGTGTACCAGACTCCCGTAACCACAAGAGATATGCTAATAGACAGAATGTGAATTGTGTATTGAACAATTGGGTTTACATTTCGAGCAACTACTTTAGATTTTGTATGTTTGTCTTAACTATCCAATAGCATTTTAGTTGTTAATAATTAATTTAATTTGTTAAAAATAATATTGGAAAATTGAACAAATTGATATTCTGTTTTTTTGTGTTTATTCGGAGTTAGGAATTATTGCTTTGTTTAAAAATACAATCTAAACGATCATCTTAATTACTTGTAATGCCCAAATCGAAAATGTAAAAAAAATATTATTTTCCCTTGAATAATTAAAAATGCATCGAACCTTAAAAATCGAAATATCTCAAAAACGGCTAACTATAACGAAAATTCACAAGAGAGCTTTTTTATGTTGAAAAGTGCGAAGAATCAGTTTTTTTATTCAAAAAGCACCAAGAAAAAATGTTCGGTCATTTTACAGGTACAGTAGAGAGCGCCCTCTAGCGGCTACAGCAAAACTATGCCCATGGTTCATTTTGTCGTACCAAAAAACCCTTGTACACCAATTTTCACTGTTATACATCAAATATTGTTCGAAATATTTAAAAAAAACTATTTTAGAAAGTAAATTTAAACACCCTGTATTTCGGAAGCCACGCATTTTTCGACCCATGTTTATATATACTTTATGCATTAATTTCAAAAGTTCTATCGAATCTTAAAGTTATGCAACAATAAACTGAAACACCCTGTATATCCTAGCAAGCAAAAAATATGTCTCGACTACTGCTACTTGAAATCGAATAATTCGGTGCTTACCTGCAACTGCTACATTGAGCCCTTCGGTATCAATTGCCGAATATCTGACGGGCCAATTCGTCGCCGAATACGTTGATGGTACCGGAACCACCAGCCATTGCCTTCCCTCGACTAACGTTGAAGATAACGCGGACATACTCTCGCCGAAAACGTCATCTTTGCCAGACCGATCCGAAAACATTCGGATCAGCGTATCTGCGGAATTGATGTACAGTTTGTCCTCTCCTTGGAGGTAAAGATGACTCTGATGGCTCTGGAAAAGTACGCGGTTAAAAGCGTCTTTAAATTGTTTCATCAAATGAAATGTTTATTATTCTTAGCCCTAAAGCTACTTCCTATAGTTTATAATGTCTTACTCAAGTAATAAACAAAAAAACAGTAATTCTAGATTCCCCTAAAATCATAGTAACTGCAACCACAGTAAATGCAACAATAGCAAATGCGAGATAATGACATACAGTTATCTTAACACAAATAATAGTTGTAGCAGCGTATTTTGTTCTAGGTTAATATTCAGGGCGTTTTCAAAGTTTAGTCATTTATTTTAACTGCGTGTAGGAGTTGATATTCCAAAAATCACCTATACAGGGTGTAAACGTTATGATAGTCATTATTTGAATGGGTGATAGAGGGGGTTAACATGGGGGTCAAAACGGCATTTTTTAGAGAAAATCGACTTTAAATTAAATTACGCCAGAACGCAGTGTAAATAAAGATGGAGTTTGTTATTTTTGGCTCTTAGGTATTATTTCATTATTTGATAACGTACTCGTAAAATGCAAACAATTAAACAAAACGGACTTACCACTAACTGTCTCAGCACTTCACCTGGTGTGTGAAAGTTTATTGAACGTATTAAAAAAATCCGCTTATAAATAGGGAACACAATTTTGATACATACATTGTTTTAAAGAAGGTGTTCAAAATGTCGTCCTCCACTTTCTACACAAGCTTCATTACGTCGAACCCAGTTTCTTCTTACTCTAGGTCCTCGAAGTTGTCCATTTATTATTTCAGCCGCATTAAAAGTTTTTTCGCAAAGTTGTGCTTCAGTTGTCATTGGACATAAACCATCCCTTTAAGTTCTCCACAATACCAGAAATCCATCGGATTGAGGTCAGGAGATCTTGCTGGCCATTTTCGAGGATCAGCAGCATTTCAACCGATCCAACGATTTGGATAATGTTCATTCAAATACTGAATGACGCCTCTAAAAATGTGTGGTGGTGACCCGTCATGAAGAAACCACAAATTCTGTCTCCCTTGTAATGGCATGTTGGTCTAAGGTCTGTTCCAAAAGTTCTGGTAGGTTATTGGCTAGAAAGCTAAGGTATCCTTTTCCTGACAACTTTGGGGGTAACTCGAAAGGGCCAGTTACCTGATCGTCAAAAATACCCGCCCAAATATTTATTTTAAAACGTTGTGGGACATGACCTTCACGATTGGTATGAGGATTTTCTTGGGCCCACGTGTGAGTATTATGGAAATTTAATAACCCGTCTCGCGTAAAAGTACATTCGTCCGTCGCTAGATTGTTTTTAAAAAAATCCGGATTTTCAATGTTTTTGTGCAAAAAACACTGACAGAATGTTAGTTTGCGAGGATAGTCTTCTGTTAACAAGGCCTGCACTCGTTGTACATGGTAAGGATGAAGCAAATTTTCCCGTAGGATTCTATGGGGTAGTCCTACGCGGCGGCCTAATTCCCGAGTGCTCATATCTGCATTGCTTTCCATGATATTTAAAATTTGTTCCTCCTGCTCTACAGTAACCTGTCTTTCACGAGTGTGAATATTAGTGAGCTGAACACTTCCTGTATCTCGAAGTCTTTGGTACACTTGCACAAATGTCCTTCTGTCTGGGTGTACCCGTTGGCGAAATCTGTAGCGATAAATTTGAACTGCAAGATTTGAATTCTGACGAGCTTCACCGTAAACTAACAACATGTCGGCGAACTCTTGATTCGAGAACATTGTAAATCAACACGCCCGATGCAAGATAACTAACCACTGTTACCGTTTGCGATCGATTGCCGGTTCGATAAGCGTGATGATGACCGACGCGCTGTTGTCATGACTACAAATTTTGGCTTAACTTAGAAAAACTTAATGCCATTTATTTGATAATTACCCAATTTAAAAACGTTTTACATTAGATTATTAAAATTAGTAAGATTTAGACAATTTGGACCATGGGTCATATGAACTTTTTGACCTGTTTTGATCTCCCCTATTACCCGTTTGAATAATGACTACCATAACGTTCACACCCTGTATAAAGGTTGCACAATAAAAGACATAGTAACATTAAAAATTTAAAAAAAAAGAATGTTATTACACAGATTTTTTGATATTCTCGACCACTGCCGTATAAAATCTTAGCGTTGTTTTGTTTACTACTCTCATCGTTTATCAAATTAGCAAACTTTTTGTGATATTGTATGGTTTTTAGTACGAGTTTTTGGTACAAGATATTCGAAAACGATTTGAGCAACAAGATTGGCATCCTAGAGATGTGTACCTGTATTTGGAAATATACAGAATGTTGCACAATTCCGTGACACAACACACTAGGTATTTTTTCTACTTTTTAGTTCGATTTTCTATTAAAGCGTATCTTTTAATTATTTTTAACTATAATTTATTTTCTGAATTTTTAGTCACAAACCTAACCACTAAAGTACTTATAATCAAGAGCTTTGATTTTTGGTATACTTTTTCTAACTTCCATTTTTTCAAGTTTCGAAATCTTTTTAATTTAAAAATTATTAAATTTCAAAATTCAATTTAAAAAAATCAAAATCGATTTTTTTTCAAAGATTATTGCTACGGCAAATGAAAACATAGCTGATGAAAATCACTTTATATAGAAACAAATATGCTATTTTAGAAGAACTACAGAGGTTGAATATGAAAAAATTCATATGTTATTTAGTTCTCATTTTTATATTCAAATTAAAAAATCATTTATTACCACCACATTTAGGAAACTTCACAAAATTGAAATGTCATTAGCATAACTACGAAACTAGAGGCAGTATAGATGTTCATCTGAAAAAATACTGTCATCGGCCGTTGACCCCTGTGAAAATCTTCTTAATCAGACTTCTTGAAATTGGTGAAAATAAGGTTGAAATATCCGTGTTGTAAAGCAAAACTCACCATGCAAGGATTAATAGTCAGAGCACTCTTGATAAAATCAAGATGTATTAGATTCGTTTTGTAGTTTGTATCATTCAGTTGATTGCCGTTACTATCACTCCTATCACTTGGTTCGGAAGTATCTTTTTGCACCATCCACAACTGATAACCTTCAGTTGCAAATTCCATAGAAACTATCTAAAAATTGGATAAAGGATATTAAAACACCTCTACTAACAGTAAACAATCATTCCTTCACATGAGGTTTCAGTTCACCTCCAGAAAAAAAAACATGGAGAATTCTTTATAATGGTTTGTCCAATAGGGACGCAGGAAAGTAAACGTCAATTTGACATAGACGTCATCTTTGTTTTCTGTCACCGACGTGTCATTTTGTTAGTTGAATGTTTTCCATTGATCGCTATGGAGTCGTATTCGATTGAAGACCGCATTAAAGTTATTCAAGAGCACTACAAAAATGGTGCAAAAATAAAAAAACACGTTTCGCGCGCTTCGTGAACATTTCGGTCGCAACAACCGCCCAAACGAAACAACCATCGGTCGTCTGGTGCGTAAATTCGAGGCAACAGGTTCTGTCGCAAATCTTCCAGGCTCTGGCTGGCCAAGGAGCGTTCGCACACCGGAAAATATTGCTGTTGTGAAGGAGAGTGTGAGAGACGATCCGAAACAATCAACAACGCGTCGATCCCAAGAACTGGGCATTTCGAGAACCAGTTTGCTCTGCATTCTCCACAAGGATTTGAATGTACACGCCTACAAGATCCAATTGACGCAAGAGCTGCGTCGGGCCGACCATTTTTCGCGCCGAACGTTCTCAGATTGGCTCCTTGAACAGCGCCAAATTGATGCCAATTTTTCATGAAAAATCATGTTCAGCGACGAAGCGCATTTCACTTTGAATGGGACGGTAAACAAGCAAAACTGCCGCATCTGGGCGAACGAAAATCCCCGTGAGTATCAAGAGCAGCCGATGCATCCTCAAAAAGTGACTGTGTGGTGTGCATTGTGGTCAAAAGGCATCACCGGACCTTACTTTTTCGAAAATGCGGCCGGGGACGCCGTTACCGTCAATTCTGAGCGATATCACGTGATGATAGAGGACTATTTTTTGCCGCAACTTGAAGGAATGGATATGGACGATGTTTATTTCCAACAAGACGGTGCAACATGCCACACAACCAACGTCAATATCCATCGATTGCGGTCCTTCTTCGATGATCGCGTGATTTCGCTCAGAGGAAATGTGCCATGGCCACCAAGATCGTGCGATTTGACTCCCTTGGACTTCTTTTTATGGGGATATTTGAAAAGCAAAGTCTACGTCAACAAACCAGCCACCCTCCAAGAACTCAAAAACAACATCATTGCAGAGATAAATGCCATAGAACCGACCATGTTGCAAAATGTCATTGAAAGTTTCGACCATCGCGTGGACGTCTGTAAATCCAGTCGTGGTGAACATTTGAGCGACATTATTTTTCATACATAAATGGTATAAATGAACCTTCAAAATAAAGTACCCAACTTGATTTGAATATCAATCTTTCTTGTTGTAATATGCGTTTACTTTCCTGCGTCCGTTTTGGACCCCATACATAAGTACACATATACTTTTAAGGCTCCATGGTATCTCTATTAGTATGTAAAACATGTAAACAGCTAAACATGTAAATTTGAAATAAATTCCATTTTAATCATAACTGTATCAAGAATAAAGATAGGGACATGCGTTTTCACTAGTATAATATTTGCATAATGAGATATTACAATACCAACAGTATTTAAAATATTCGAAAAAATATAAACACACCTGTAAAGGATTATTCTTTTGTATATCTACATTTAATCCGTAATCCCACCCTAAAGAGCACATGACGAGCGCTCCAAAAGTGGACCACATAGCGAGTCCTCCTTTGGACCAACTAGCTACGAGTCCGCATCCGTCGGGCGTCCATATCACTCTGCCCACCGCACCGGGATAGCCAGGGTAATCTTTGCTGCTCAGAACGCAGTTATGCGATACTTCTAACCCACCTGTACTTTCATCCACACAGTACACTACGCATTCGGAGTTCACGCGACCGAAGGTGATCAGTCTGAAAACAAAATGCATCGTTGGATATGAAGGCATAGAAGAGTCGGAAGACTCAAATCATCACCGTTGTATGCAGAGAATTTAGATGCGAAGTGATAGTATAGCGAGTCTCTACAGAAAAAATGCACAACAAATTCGTTCTGCTTAACGAATACTGATGTAAACGAAGTTATTTAAACTAAAAATCAAAAAATTGCCAGGTTATAACATAAGAGTAGAAACTCTAAAAATTATACTCGTGGTTATCTATATAGCTAAAACTCTTATGGTGTATCTGAAGTCACTTGAAATAACATAAAAACCTTTGGTCGGCGCGTCCTTTGTAATTTCATGACGTATCATAGGCGTGCGGCATTTATTTAGAACGATAATAATAATGTTTTTATATCACAATAAATGGATTTTACTATCTTCTTATTTTTTGATTTGGGATAAAAAATACTTATATTGGGAGTTTAATTTATGTTGACTGAAAGTTAAGAAATGGAAAAATTACAGAATTCCAACGTTTGACATAGGCAAATATTTACATAGCAGGTAGGTATATAAAAAGGTATATAAAGACTTACATTATAGGTATTTATATATCATCCTCGCCTTCGGAGCTGTCCCTAGAGTCATCTTGTAGAGGAATTACAACGGGATTTACAGGAGACAAAACACAATATTCATTTTCTTTTTCAATAATATGCCTAGAACACTGCTTCCATAGGTCTGTGGTAGCAATATGAGATACTGCATCTCTTATTGTGGCCAATAGCGATTCACTTAATTGAGGGGTCTGATTGTTTTCTTACTTTTTTTTTAAAGCAGCCCAGACCAACTCAATCGGGTTAAAAATGCAGTAATAGGGAGGTAGACGTAATACTTCATGGCCATTTTGCTGAAGCAGATTGTCAACAACATACTCTTTTTCAAATTTTTGTCTTTTAATAAGATCCAATAATATGGCTTTGGTTGATTTTTGTGGTATTTCCATTCCCTTATCCTTCATAAAATCAATAATGTCTTGTTTTTTGTGCCTGTATTCGGAATTTTGTTTTTCTGTCGGGAATGGTATGGCGCAATGTCCATAATAATCACTGAATTTGGGGAAATGTTTGGTATTAACTGCTGCTCTATCCACTTTTCAAATAAGTCGGAGGTCATGTCCTCATGATAGTCGGCACATGATTCTTTGATATTTTTGGCAGATAACAGCAAGGCATTAGGTATAAATCTATTTTCACTGCCAGCATGGAGAATAATGATTCGTTTTCCACGGTTGCATGGTCCATTTAAAATGCACTTGTTGCTGTCGTCAACCCAGCCGTACTGCACAACATCATGGGTATCATACCACGTTTCATCCAGGTAAATCAGATTTCTTTTCTGCTCTCTATAGATTTTAACTTCGTGCAAAAATTCTTGGCGCAATTCAACGATTCGAGACGACTCCATAATCACCATTCTTTTATCTAATTTTTTGTATTGAAAACCACACAGTTTTACAATACAGTGCAGTGAGTCTAAGCATTTGTATTTATAAAAATCTTCAGGATAATCTTTTAATTTATCCCGTATCATTTCCAACGTGGGCACCAAATTTTCTTTATAAAATCCGTATATTATACGACGAATATCTTCCTGAAAACCCACGTCTATTCTTTTTAATTTTTGCCCTATGCGCTTTCTGTGGAAGGAATGGTTGACTACATCTCCCCTTTTTATAACCCGATAAATGGTAGACCGACTGATTTTTGTCAGGATACAAATTCTGTTTAAAATTTGATTTTGCGAGGAATCTGGATTTTCGTTTTTCAGACAATCATACATATTTACTCTTTGGGTCTGTTCCTCTAAATCTTTATGAAAGAATTCTGCCTGCACAGGTTCATCAACCATCTCCTCGTGGCTTGGAGCATTTTCCCAAGGTCTCCAAAGAGCCATATTTAGGACACACAAGAACAATCAACACAACAATTAAATCAACAAGTAAACAGAGTATTCAAAAGTCAAAAACACACAAACTAATAAAATCTATGAAAAAACACGGACAGACTAAAGAAAACACGTTTATTCACCGCTACACGGCACTGGCTAAACTGTTTCAATTTTCAGTAGTCACCTGCACTTCTTCGGAGCTCTGAAATACACGCTTTCTCATTGGCTATGTCCACGCATAGGCGTGCTTTACTCCACGTGGACCGGTGAAACTGCCTTTGATCTTATTTGCTGCGAAATTTGGCGATTTTTGCAGCAACAGAGCGTGTTAAATATAGATATATAAAACGCACCCGGTATTTCACAGTGTTTCAAGTGACTTCAGATAAAGTATACATTCCTAATAAATTTGATTCTTAAATCTGGTAATTATCCCAGTGCATTTAAAACGGCTTTAATTACGCCAATACATAAAAGTGGAGATAGATCAGAATTGAATAACTATAAACCAATTTCTGTTATAACAGATTTCGCGAAGATATTTGGAAAGATCTTGATCTTGAAAATTTTTCAATGCATCTTTTTGATCTTTTGACTATCCTAAAAAAAGTGATATCTCAAATTTTTCGAAAGTTGGTTATAACTCAAATTATCGCAATAAATGTTTTTCAGTTCGACCTCGTATTTTTTTGGATTACCCTCTCCATGCAAATAGGACGTTTCTCCAATATCATCCTAACTACCTACACCTCAAACATGCAATAGTTAAATAATAATAATATTGACTGTAGACTTCTCAGTATAATTTTATTTTCTCGAAAATGCCTCGTCTTGTTCAAAAAGAATTATACAAGATTATTAAGGTCGTTTAATGAATGATGTAGCTTTAAAAATATAGTTATTACCTATACTTATGATTAATCGATGTACATGTAGCATCTTCTATTCCCTGCGCCCAGATCCCCTGCACCTGATTAGGATCAAATTTCAGAGTGGGAGCCGTTAGAAACGCAGCTCTGCCATCATTCAAAACTATCGAGAATCCTCCGACCAGCGGGGAATACTCGATATCTACAATGTAAGTGTTTTCCTCGACGATGGGAACCGCTTTAGACACCTGTTGATTGATACAGAACGGTATCCGTCTTAAATCTAAGGTATAATCTCGATTCTGGCTACCGTCCCAGCGGTATCTGAGCACGTGACCGTTTGTTGTGGCTATCATCAGTTCGGACATCGTTATACACACCATTCCAGAGATTCTGCCATCCCATACCATGACTTCGTCACTCTGAAAAACAGACAGGTTTTAATGAGTACCATTAAGGAGCTGGGGAAAGTTCCGCATGTAGCATGCATGATTTTATCGATGTGTAACCTAAGTCAAAGAAGTAAAATTGGCAATACATTATCAAACATTAAAAACATTTCGGTAGGTGTGCCACAAGGTGGCAAATTAGGTCCATTACTATTTATTTTACACTGCAAAATACGACTATTTGCTGATGATACATTAATATATATATATATATGTCAAATAAAGACATTGAAACTGCAACAGAGCTGTTAAATAATGATATGAAAAATGTAATAAATTGGTTAAATGTAAATAAACTTAAACTAAACACAAACACAACAAAATATATGCTATTAGGAAAATCTTTAAATCAAAATACGATAAATCTTACAATTAATCATTAAAAAATTGTGTCAATCGAATCATTTAAATATTTGGGCATATATGTAGACAGTAAATTAAAATTTGTATATATTATATCCTAGCAAATAAATTATTTGTATAGAATTTCGCATAGCCTAAGCGTTTATTCTAAAAAAATTGTGAAATGAAACTGTACTTTCAAAATTACAAATATTACAAAATAGAGCTATGAGAATCATCTTAAATAAGAATAAATATACTAGAATAAATTTTATGCTGAAAGAACTAAGTACAATGGTTAAATATCAACAAAACACAAGCTGCAGATATAATTAAACATAAAGAAATCCTTCTAAAAAAAGGGATTTTGAACAGCAATTTGAATCAAATAAATAGCTTTTTGACTGATGATGGTACCAAAATTGACAAATTGTTATGACTGGTTATAGCAGCTTGTCATAAGGGGATTCCTTTGACAGGTATGTATGCATGCTTCTCAGCATTCTAATATTTTAGAATGTGAATCTCATTTAATTCGAAATACCAAAACAAAATCTGACCTATTTGATCATCAAGTTAGCACTTTAGGAAGAAAGAAAAGCTGTCAGATAAGATGGAATAATATGAGGTATCCTAACAGGTATTTACTCCATCCAAATTGGGCCAAATAAGCTTCATAATGCATCCATGTTCACAACAAGTAATGCATATAAATCAAAAATCAATCATTATAAAAGTGTATAATAGTTAAATATAGAAATCATGCATTTATTACCAAAGTTAACTTCAGAGGAGGTATAGTTTCTTTTATGAATAGCTCAGCACTATCTCTCCTCAAGTTGGCATGAGGAGAATCTGTCTGGACATACAGCCCTTTATGATCAGAAGGCACCCCTAATTTGTAGAATAGCAGATGGCCCTCTGAAGTCTAAAAATAAAGAAACAATGTACAAGAGCATTCAAAATAAACGAAAGATCCTTACAGCAACTACTATCATGCTTGAATCTGGCTTCCATTCTGCTAAAACATTTGTCCCAAATTTTTCTATGGATTTGCTTGTACGTTTCTGATACACTATAGGGACACAGGGCTGAAACAATATTAAATTAGAGCGTGAACGGGGATATACTGATTTAGAGCATACCTTGCAGAACCATATTGCTAAAGATTCTTCGGTCAAAATAGCAAACAAAATTCTGTCTCTATTACACGTAATTTGTTTGATTTTCCCATGACCCAATTCTGGTGTTTTAATAACCTTTGGCCACCCGATTGGGAAGTACATGTTTTTTTACCTGACACTTTCTTAAGTACTTATACACAATCACATTTTAAAAATTAAAAACTAATGAAAATACTGGATTTTTATATAAAAAATTGACACATACTTGTTGTGATAGCAGAACTGACACAACTTTCAAATGTCAAACGTCAAAGTCGTCAAATGTCAAGGAACGGGCGCGTTCGAGTCAGCGCCAAATTCGAGGCTATGCATGGATCTATTCACCGAGGTAAGAGGCCCGAGGCCCCTGAGGCCTTTTGCCCAAAAATTAATGAGGCGTTAAGTGGCAGAAAAGCGAACCTCTTTAACAAAAAATGCCGGTAATTCTCTTGCTTTGCTACACCAGCAATTTTTTGATTTTCCTTCCGAATACGCACTAGGTTTGGGTTGTAAATGAGACTAAAAATGCCCGCAAATGGGTTAGTTGCAGAATATTGTTGATATTATCTAGGTTTTAAACAATAAACACCTTAATCACAACATTTGCAGAACGGAACGGATCCAATATATTCCGCGATGTTGCCACATTGAAGACATATGAAGAAATTAACGAAAATACGCATTTCCAGGCGTAGCAGCTCTTCTTTTGATCCAGAATTTCTTCCCCCTTGAGTCGCGGCGCGCGTGAGCCTGCCGCTAGTGCATTAGACTTTATGTAGGGTTGTGTGGAGTTCAAAGGCATACATACAAATTTAATTATTAAGAGTATCCATCAACACTAAAACCTATGAAATAATCACATCTGGCAACATTGTACAGTCTTTGAAAACAAACATTCAATAAAAACCTATTATATAGTAAAATATTTCAGAACTTTCATGCTTGCGGTCATTTTTGGTCCCATTTCTTTCATCTACACCCAAAAATTAGGGACTGAAATCATGTCTTCATCAAAAACGGCTGGTGTAGTTAAGGTAGAGAATTATCAAATATGGATTGTGCGATTTTGAAAATTATATGAAGAAACTTATAAAAAAGCAGTCAATGTAAAGAAATAAAAGATAGATCATTGATCTAAATGATGAGATTGTTAAAAAAGTACGATCTAGGGCTTTTCATTATTTGTGTAAAGCGGATGGTAAAAAAAAGGAACGTTTTGCTAGCTGTTTTCTTTTAAAGGCCTAAGGAGTTGGTCTAATATAGACTGCAACCAATATTAGATACTGTTTTACCGATGTGATATTAGTATCGTGGGTCAGAAAAAAATAAACAAACTAATCAGATCTTAAAATATATTAACATAGTACATAACTCAAGGTGTCAAGTAATCCACACCGTTCAAATGTCCTTCGTCCCTGGCTCTTTGCTTGGCGAGCCTCTCTCTATCGTATCCGTCAATTCCGAGTCCCAGTCGTTCGATGGCCTTTTCACCAAGTACCCCGTTAAGCTCTTGGTACTGCCTGGATCTTCTCTTGCCTATTTCCGGATCGAACGGCCACTTTTGGTCCTTGTGAAGCACCGGATGTCCGGCTACGTTGAACTCGATGAGGTCACGGACTATCTCGAATTGTGCGAGGGCTGTTGACAGCAAAGCGAGGAAGACGGTCTAGATAAAGGAAGAAGAGAGACATAAAAAAGTTGCCGGGGTGGTATTTGACTGTTCAAAATGAAATAAAATAGATTTTTTGTCTTAGCGTTTATCTAAATTTGGCAACTTTTTCTGTTATTGTATGGTTTTCAGTAAGAGTCTGCTTCGATCAGTTGTATCAGTCTTTTAATAGTGGGAATACTTTCATTTGTCTGATTATTTTGTGCAAAAAAATAGGAAAACAATGAACTAGTGGACATAATATTAACATACAGACAGCGCCAACAAAATGCAGCCGCTGTATGCGGAAAGGTTTCCTTTAAGAAACATCCGGCCCCACAGATGTTTATTGTAAACTTAATTATTAGACTTCGTGACACTGAATTTTTAAAAGAACAACAAGGAACAAGGAGGTCACGCTGCTCAGCCTGAAATGTTACAAATTGAGAAATACACTTTTGAAATTGTCAATGTAAAACGGATATTAGAAATGTGCACAGAAAGAGATCTAGGACCGCTGAATCTGGATGTATTGGGGGCCAGATGGCATTATACCTAAGTATAACTTCGGCGATGCTACTGGAATAATTTTCATAAATGATAAAGTTGTGTTTGTTGTGTCAACATTTTCCGAATCCGAGTTGTACTTTCCAAGGTATAGAGAGACCAAGAATTACAAGAATTAACTAATGACCAACGGAAATGAGTGACTTGGTTTTTTGTGATGTGCATTTCATGTATCATAAAAAAACCCAATATCTCGATTTCAGAATGTTCGGCAATTACGAGGGTTGTCTCAAAAATAAGGTTCCTCACATTTTTTTTAGGCACACGTAATTTTTTATTTAAAAACGAATTTATTGGAAAAGTTGCGCGTTTCCAGAAAAAACAGTGGCGTACCATTTTTATTTGGAAAAATAATGTCACTAATCCCTGTAACTCCGCCACTGGTGCACGGTAATTTTAAGTAAGACTTTTGAATTTGGACAATGTGGTAAATCCACATACCAAGTTTTAGTTCATTCCAGTTGAGGGATTTGAAGATACGAAAAAAATTGTTTTATATTTTTAAACTTCAACACCCCGTATCTTTTTAAAGAAGCCCTCGTGGAAAAAATGTTGCATAGAAGACCCCACTTAAAATGCGGTGCATATGATGTTTCATTTTTGGTCACGACTTGTGAATCACCCAGTATAACAAGATTTTTTCATATCGGGCGTATTGAGCCTGCTTATTTTAGAGAAAATTCATATAAACACATTTAATGGTTATTGGAAATAAATCTTATTTGCAAGATTTATCTTGCCTATTTTATCTAACAATAAAAGTAAAACAACATAAAACATAATTTCTAAAAAGTTTGTCAACGTAAAGCTGTTACTATTACAATCCTTTCATTTTCTAAAGCGCGCGAACTGTTATGGCCTTCTTTGTACGTGACGAACAACTAATAACTAAATAGAATAATATAAATAGAAACCTTTCTCTTACCAGTACCAAAAAACGGCAATCCATTTCAGAAGATGCAAGAAAAATAGACTATTTACCGTAGATTCACTCACGCAGTCTTGGTTATCATTAGATTAAACGACATAACGTATTTAAGGAAAGAGAAAGCGTGTGCTGTCATACGACCCTGATGTAATGATCTTCGCGTGGTGGTAACCAAATGACAGATAAGTTCATAATTGTTAGGTAATGGGTTAATATTGCGCGAGGTGTTGATATTAAAAGTGCAGATGATTAAATGTTTTTTTTTTCATTGGAAACGGATCAATTACCTTTCAACGGAACTTACCTGCTATTACAATTTCATTCAATTTGTCAATACCTCATAAGCATAATTAATTTTATAACTACAGATCGCTTTACATCATATAACGGTTTCAACACTTAGTAACAAAAATTTTCTTTTTACATTTTCTATAAAGCTTTTAGACTTCAGTTATGCACAGCGATTGAAGAAAGGTATACTAAGTGACATATAAATCCGAACACCCAGTTTAAATGGTTTTATTTTAATAAAAGTTGGTGAATGTATTTATCTTACTGTAAATAACAAGTGAAACAATTTTCAGCCTTATCAGTTGGACACTCCGGTTTTTATACTGCTTTTTTTTAGTTCACTAACGCTCTAAAAATGAATATTTCAGCCGCAGTAAAGAATCAACGTTGGCGGATTTTGGTTCTGGACATCCTTTACGATCGGTTACGATGCCTAGAGTACGGACACCTGTACGATTTCGTCAACTTAGTGAGTTTGATAGGGGCCGTATAGTGGGACTTCAGGAAGCTGGACTTTCTTTTCGAGCAATTGCAGTTAGAGTGCAAAGAAGTGTAGACACTGTGGTTAGGTGTTGTCAGGCATGGCTTCAAGAAGGCCGTACGCAAAGAGCAAGGGGCACTGGACGCCGCCGTAGAACAACAGACCGTGAAGATCGCCGCCTAAGATTATTGGCCTTAAGGGACCGTTTCTCCACTACCAGGTCCATTGCAAATGAATGGTTTGCAGAACACGGAAGACCTATTGGCATGCGAAGTGCTTACCGACGAATGAGAAGTTTTGGCTTGTTTTCATACCGGCCACACTGGGTCCTCCCTTTAACTCGAGAACACCGACGCAATCGCCTTGAGTGGTGCAGACAACGGTCACTCTGGGATCAGGAATGGAACAGTATTGTCTTTAGTGACGAGTCTCGATTTTGTTTAGGCATGCACGATGGTCTTGCCAGGGTTAGAAGGCGACGTGGTGAAAGGAGGAATCCACAGTTTTTTTGTTGAAAGACATGTTCATCACACTGTTGGAGTTATGGTTTGGGGTGCTATAGCTTATGGTTCCAGGTCACCTTTAATCTTCATCAGAGGTAACATGAATTCACAGCGTTATATCCACGAAGTTCTAGAACCCCATATTTTAACCTATCTTGATACCCTGGCAGATCCAACTTTCCAACAAGATAATGCCCGACCACATGTTGCAAGAGTCACAATAGACTTCTTTCAACATAATGATGTCACATTGTTACCATGGCCACCAAGATCTCCCGATTTATCCCCAATTGAGCACGTGTGGGATATGATGGGTAGGAGATTGCTCAATTTGCAACGTCCTCCTCAGACTCTAGAAGCACTTGGAGAGGAGTTGGTGGTTGCCTGGAATGAGATACCACAAGAGGACATTGACCACCTGATCAGAAGCATGCCTAGGCGCGTTGGAGAATGCGTAGCACATCAGGGTGCATCCACACATTATTAAAGGTCAAAGGGCTTTAAAGCAGTGCAATCATTTTGAAATTTTTATCATTTACTTATTATGCTTCATTAAGTACTTATACAAAATTTTATTAAAATAAACCCATTTAAACTGGGTGTTCGGATTTATATGTCACTTAGTATATAAGCTTTATCATACAAAGGTTACTAAAAATCTAAAAACTAAAAGAATGGGGGTTTCATTTGAAAATCTAAAGTGTAATTTTTGGATCACACTGTATTGTATGGCTATATATGAAAAGATGTCCTCGTAGAAATCAAAATTGACGTGTCCGAGCCGTTTTTCCCAAAGTATACAAGGAAAGTCACAAATGGGAGTGCGACCTTTTCTTTGGGCCACCCTGTATCTAATATTTATAGA